GAGGCTGGCTTTGAACTCAGAATCCTCCTGTCTCAGCCTCCTGAACTGCTGAGATTACAGGCCTGCACCACGGTGCCTGGCTATAAATGTTTTCTTTTCTTTCTTTTTTTGTGATATCAGTTGGCCACCCTAAAATGTAATGGGCACCATAAATTTTCCATAATTTTTTTTTCATCCCTTCTTTTCCTTTCAAGTCAGGGCCTTTGGACAGTTACAATGTCCTCTCAATTTCCCCATGACCAGTGTGACTGTGGAATGTTCCTCGCGGTCAGTCTTGCTTCCCCTCACGATGGGCAGCCCAAACACTACTATCTATGATTTTGCATTGGAAGGACCTTTTATTTATTTTGCATTTTTCTTAGATAATAGCAAAGCATTCTTAGGCTTTTGTCCAAGTTGGAAGCCTCTTTCTTTCATTTTGAAATAGGAAACAAAGTCAGGGCTACAAATCACTAAGTAAAAATTACTAAGTAGTATGTAATTTTCACATTTAGAGTTAATAATTTTGTGACAAAAAGAAATTTCTTCTCATTTGGCATAACTTACTCAATTATTTTCTGTGAAAAACCCAAATTCTAAGTTTATTCTTTTGGTACATTATTAATGTGACCTCTAAGATCTTTATTTGTATAAAATTTGGTTACATAGAAGTAATGATTTGAAGTTTTGGCTATGGCTTTAAAAGACAATCAACTTTTCAGTGTGTTAAAGAAAACTATATGTCATGTTAGATTATCAGGATTAACTGTAACAACTTAAGAGAAAACACATCATTGATTATTCTCTACACAGACCTGTACCTATAGAAATAATCTGTAGTTTTTCTCGCCGGATCTGAAGCTGCCAGACAACAGAAATATAAAAGCCAAGTTAACATTTCATGAGCATTTACTTCCTATTTAAAATTCTGAAATGGCAAAACAAACACATCATTTTAAAGTATTTGTATATTTTGTGAATGACTCATTTTAAGAAACCAGAGAAAGTTGCAATGAATTTTTTTTTGTATTAGTTTTTGGTCTTTTCAGAAGCTGCACCAGTGTTTAAGTTACTCATGCACCAATTTACACCTCAGTCTTCAGTTAATCTGGATGTTACAATTTTGTTAAGATGCCAAGTCTTTATGAATTGCAAGGATTTTATAAAATTAGACAAATATTTCAAAAGTTTCCATACTGTTTTGTTAAATGATTTGTATACATAACTTTTCCCATTTTTATTACCACATATTAATTGTACCTGTTTTCAAGTTCAGATACCTTCTGCTTGATCTAGTCTATTGTTGAAGCTGTCAACTGTATTTTTTTTTTTTTTTTTTTGTGGTACCAGGGATTGAACCTAGGGGCTCTTAACCACTGAGCTGCATCCTCAGCCCTTTCCAAAAATATTTTATTTAGAGATAGGGTCTTATTAAGTTGCTTAGGGCCTCGCTAAGTTCTGGAGGCTGGCTTTGAACTCACCATCCTCTTGCCTCAGCCTCCTGAGCGGCTGGGATTATAGGCGTGCACCACAGCACCCGGCTTCTTTAAATCCTTTATCAGGCATTTCATCCATTTTTATTTCTTTGGAATCTGCTGCAAGAGTTATGATGTCTTTTGGAGATGTCATATTTGGATTTTCGTATTTCTTGTGCTCCTATGTTGAGATTTCCATGTCTGGTGGACTAGGTAACTCTACCACTTTTATGGGTGGCTTTCTTAGTAAGCAGCTTCCTGGAAAGGTGTGCCTGGGGTGCTGATTTGCTGTGCAGCATTGGATCCCTGTCACCTCTTTTGACTGGGATTGTTGACTTTGGGCACAGGACGTCCTATGGCAGTCAGACTCCACTGCTGAGGGCCTTGCAGCAGTGGGGACACTAGTGTTCGGTCAGGGGCTGTGTAGACAGCAGTGGCTGTAGGGTGCTCCATGGCTCCTCAGTCATGGGACTGATGGCCTCTAACTGGCGATGGGGACTTTGCTCTGATGTGAACTCTGCTTCTAACTAGGGCCTCGGGCTCTGGCGTCCCCAGCAGTGGTGAGGGCCCTAAAGCACTTGTCCAGCCCAACAGGGGTGTGGGCCCAGATGCTGCGGGGGTGGGGGGGGAGAGGCAGTCGCAGAGCCGTGGCCTCCCCTGTGGTGCTTGCATGGTCTTGACAGCAGTGTGTGGTCAGACAAGGTGAGGGGACCACCGGCCGTAGGAACCATCTGGGCGGGTGGCAGGGATAACTGGGGTGTTCCTCTGGCTCCTGTGGCAGTCCCTGTGCAGAATGGGGTCTCAGTGGCACCAGGCAATGTTCTGAGCTTCTGCTGAGGGTGGGGTCAGGTTTGGGGGAAGCCAGGGCTTTTCTCCCTATTCCTTCAGCCTTAGCTGCCCCTGGAGCGCTACGGTGGCCAAGCTGGACTCAGTTGCTCTTGGCATCCTCTAGCCATGTGGGCCTGGGGACAGGGCAACAGCCAGAGCCCCGGGTTGCTCCAGGCCCTGTCACCTGTGGGCAGGGGCGTGGCGGGAATCCGGGTTTCCTCCCTGCGCCGTCAGTAGCAGGTGCTTGAGCTCGGTGCGGGGGCTGCAGGAACCACGGGGCCCTTGCCTGCAGTCCCGCCCTGGTACCAGGGGCTGGCCATGCTGGCCACGTCCTAGTTCTTGAGGGCAGTGCTCTCTGTTCCTGTCATGTCCCCTGTCCCCTAGAATACAGGGCACCCTACTGACATGGGCCAGTCACTCATGAGGCAGCTACCCCTGAGCCAGGGCAGTACCTGTGGGGACCCAGAGATGGGAACATGCTGTGTCCCCAAGAGCCATCCAGATTCCGACATGGGCCCTTTTCTCAAGATGGCTCCTGGCTGTAGCCCACCGGGGGGACTGCTAGCAGGTGAGGGGTCTTTTCTCCAAAGCCAGCCCACCATGCAGATTTTAGGCTACTTGTCTAAGTGGGCTGCAGGCCTGTGAGTGGGGTGAAAGCGTCCAGTGGCCAGGACTGCCAGCAATTGCATGGTGGAGTTTGCCGGGACCATCTCTGTGACCCTCACCCCTGCAAAGGGGAGACCTCTGCCCCGGCTCTGGACTGGGTGGCACATGCTGGAGCGTTTGGTTTCTTGCTGTGCTGTTGGCCCAGGTTTCTGTCCTGCTCAGTTCCGGTTCTCCGACTGCTCGTCACCGCAAATACAGCTGCGCACCTGTTACTTGGGTCCTTGTTTGTGGAGGTGGCAGCAAGTTTTGGGCACCTCTTTTCAGCCATCTTGTCCTTCTTTCTATCTATGTAACTTTAAATTTGACCTTGGCCTGCTACAAAGCAAACTATTGTGCTAACAAGTTTTCCCCATAAACTGGAGACTCCAAGTTCTGTCAAGCCTTCAGACTTGGCTGTTGAGAGGGTCACCCGCCACTGGATTGCTTACCCTGGGTTATCTGTGAGTCCTAGACGACAGCAGTAAGGTTTGTTTGAATTTCTCCCTCTCCAAGGGCACATGTTCCTCAAGCTTGTGGATGAGGCTCATGGGATGGAATTAGGACTTATGAGTTTGGCAGACTTAGGTGACTCTTATGACAAAGCAAGTTTAGGCTCCCTACTATACCCTTATTTAAGTGAAGATTGCTGATGAATTTCTTTAATTAATGAGGGTTTATGTGAAGCTCACCTGTTGTAGAGATTTACACTTGATTATCTGCTTTGGTATAGATTCCTAAGGCTTGAATCGGCCCTGGTTTTGCAAGTGACCAGAAGAGACCCTGCTAGGGAGATGGTCAAAGGGCAGCTATCACCCACATGCCCACCATGGGCCCAAGCACCAGACATCTGGAGTGATCGGAGTGATAGGTTCCGCGTCTGGTTTTACAGAATCGTAGCATATGGTGGATGAAAAATCACGCCACACCATGGCTCACTACTCCTACCTTCATGAGGACGGCTCGGTTTTTTCCTGGTGTAACTGACCTCTGACAGTTCTGTTCAACACTCCCACCCCCCTGGCCACGCCTGGCTTGAAAATAAGAAAGGAGGGGCTAAGAAGAGCAAGTGGATCGGGCAGGCCTCTCTGAAAGATTGACCCAAACTGACACCCAGTGGCAGGCTGGCACTCGTCTGGTGTCCCTGCAGACCCCAGGGACCATTTGGAGGAGTTGTAGGAGAACTAAAGTGGCAAAGGATCAACACACTCTGTGAAGAGGATAAATAACATCCCAGGTGTGCACACTTCTGCACCTTCCAGGTGTGGTATATGACTTCCAGTCTGTTCCAAGGACAGACAGCTTGTGCTAGTGATTCTACTCGGCACTGAGCCTTCTCTGCTGTGGCTCCTTCGGTCAGTGTCACACAGTCCCTTGGGTCCAGCCCGGCTTGGGGTACAGCTGCATCAGGTTAGGTTGCTCAAACTTCTCAACATCAGTGGGCTGATGGTGGGTAGACGGCCACTCTCCTAGTCCCCTCCCCAGCTCGGAACTGAAAGGGGCCACTTGGCACCCTGAGCTGTGAGCTGTGGGGAACTCCTGCCGGCGGGTCAGGTCCCTCCTAGGCCCTGCCGGTTCCCAGCTGCCCGCCTTCCACACCTTGCTCCTCTCAGATCTTCCGCTCCTCACGTGACTCCTCATAACAACAGTTTGACAAAGGTCAGCCCATCCCAGGACATGCAGTGGTGGACACAGGCCCTGTGCCAAGAATGGCGACTGGCGTGTGGCTCTGCCATCAGCCTGTCTCGGGGCCCTGGTCATCACGAGGCCAGCCACGGTTTCAGCCAGGTGCTGAGATGGAGTTAACCATCGTCATTCTATTAATGTCTAGGACGTTGGGAGGAAAAACCACCCTTGGAGGAGTCTGAACAGGCTTCGAGGTTTCTCTCCTAGACCCTCAGTGACCACTGTGGGAACTGCAGTAGACCACCGGGTCCAGCCACACCCACCAAGCACTGCCTTGACCCGTCAACTCCAGAGGGTTGGGCAATAGCGCCGGGGGTTTTGTTTGGTGTGCGGAAGTCCAAATAAATGTGTTTAAAAAAAAAAAAAAAAAAGCGAAACAAAACAATTCAAGGCTTTTGAAAAAAGCATCATTTATTTCAAAGTACAACACAAAGTTGTATTTTTAAGAAATACACATTCAATCTTGTACTTCAAGACTTGGTTATGTGCATTTCAGTTTATCTTTAAAATAAATTCAGGTATACAAATGTTACATACCTCAAGTACAAACAGCACGGAAAATGCGTAAGGTCTCAACTGAGTGGTCTTACATTCACCCACTGTTCTGAAGTTGTCTTACATCTCTGTAATCTGCTTTAACCAAGACAGCCTTACTTTTAAAAAAATACTCTGTATTTTCAGCACAAAGTCCTCATACATTTTTAAAATTAGATCTTGGCGCATAATATTGAGAAATTATTAAAAACCAAACTTGGAAATTTAGTAAAATTGTCACATGCCAGGACTTCTGAATCAACTCAAATTACTCCCTTAGCTGTAATGTCAAATTTGTGTTCAGACAGGTAAAGAAAGCAGGGAGGAGATGGGAGGGAGGGGAACGGGGACAGCTGAGGGCTGGGTGGACAGGTCTTAGTGGAGTTTGTGGCTGAGTCCAGACTTTTCTCTAAAAGCACAACAGCAAATCTCATAGTATCATAATTGCAAGAAAGATCTGAGAAGCGAGTGTAGAGCCTGCCCTGCGAGTCTGCGCGGCCGGTGGGCGGTGGGAGTGGGGCGAGGGCAGGGAGCCCGACAGGTCTCGGAGGCGGGTCATGATCCAGATGAGGCGCCCCCGCGCGGTTTGTTCTTGTTTCTTTGCCTAATTTCAATTCTCATGAGGGAAGTGCGAGTTAGACCAAGGGTCAGAGCTTCTTCTTCCGATGGTGGGACTCCATATCCGCCAGGGGTTGTAGGTCTGTCCCAAGTCGTCGGCAGGGCTGGACGCAGAAGGAGCGTGCACCGTGGAGGAGGTCTCGGCGCCCATGAGGCTGACGCTGGACAGCGCGCTTGCGGGGGAGGTGAAGGGGAGGGCGCTACTGAGGCTGCTGGACCAGATGGAGCTGCTGAAGGGGGTGGTGGACCACAGGCTGGTGCTGCCGAGGATCGACTGCGACAAGACAGAGAAAAGCAGGCTGAGCTCCCGGGCAGCATGGGCAGGAGAGGGCAGTGGCTCAGTGGGGGACAAATGAGGCTAGGTCACAGGCTCCCCACTTTACTTCTAACCACAGGAGGCCACGTCAGAGTCTGAGGAGACAGTTCTGATGTTCCAAAGAAGGGCTGGTGGGCTCCAGCTAGTGGCCCGAACCTAGCCGGCGTGCCCTGTGCGCTGGTCTCCCTGGAGCACTGCCCTTGTTCTGGCTCCTTCTGCACCAGGAACAAGGGCAGAGACAGGTGGCCTGTGAAGCCTGAATACTGACTACCTGTTTCTCTACTGAGTTTGTGGGATCCTGGGCTTTTTTATGTTTTGCAGATTGAACCCAGAGACGTTCACCACTGAGCTACATCCCCAGCCCTTTCTGAGACACAGTCTAAGGTGCCCAGGCTGGCCTCCAACTTGTGATGCTCTTGCCTCAGCCTCCTGAGTTGCTGGGGTCACAGGTGTGTGCCACCATGCCTGTTGCTAGCTCCTCTTTTAAACAATTGTTAAGGCATCAAATCTGAAGCCAGAATGATTACAAGACAAACTGTGGACTCTAGGGAGTAAGAGCTACGAAGTTAAAACACTGCCTGTTGGACCCTGCACATCTGATTTAGTTTTCCTGAGAACAAAGACGCAATCACAGTGGGATCACAGTTTTTGGTAACAATTATAGGAAGCTGAAATCATTTCTCTTGATAAGTGGACTTGTTTTTTTTTTTTTTTTAGCATAATCTCTGCAGAAAAATTGAGCTGAGAAGCAAACAAACGTGCACTAGAAAAGCTGGAGCTAAGAGGTGCTTCTTAGAAACAAAATGCATGCCAAGTGCCAGCCTGCCTCAGGGGCCGCAGACAGAGGTACATGGACCCGGAAACCTGCTCAGCCCTCATCTGAGCCCCAGGTGGGTCACAGCCTCACCTGTGGTTGAGGTCACAGGCTGAAAAGGACCCTGAAGTACCAGGAGAGAAGCCAGGACCAACCCCACAGCTGCCGTTCCTCCCCAAACCTCCTGGTCCCCGAGGCTCTGAGGCACAGTGCTTGCTCACTGTGGCGGATCGCAGAGACAGGGCAGGGCCGCACTGCACCAGCCCACCCCTCACTGTCTCTTCAGTGCCCATGACGGCCAGGCTGTGGGCCAGGCCAAGTACTCACGGTGGCCATGTGGGTGGGGGAGCTGGAGCTGGCCGGCCAGGAGGGGCTCGGATCTGTCACTGGAGAGTCCCAGAGGTAAGAGGGGCCACTGCTGAACTCACTCCAGCTTCTCTGGGAGGACTGATTGCAGGAGCGAGATAACCCGAGTTTGCTGAAAACTTCTGAAATGAGATAGCCATCAAGTCCGCGTTTGGTTCTGCCACACTGGGAAGATGGGGTTCACACACCGTCCCACTGTAAGCCAGCTCCCCCGACGCGTGCGGGGACGTCTCCCAGGCTCAAGCTTATTCTGCACTACAGGCATGAAGGTGCTGACCCTCCCACAGGATGCTGCAGCTGAGGCACACCCAGCAATGCTCCGATCCTACAGGGCAAGAGAAAGGGGGCGGTGCCCTGGCCTCCCAGGAGTCAGGAAGCTCTTAGACACCGGCCATGGGGCACGGCCACCAGGCCCCTAGCAGAGCCTGGCCCACTGTGCCCTGGGTGGATGGTGGAGGAGGGAGGCCGGGGAGAGGGCCAGACATCGCTGTGTGGGCCGGGACCCGAGGGCGCCCAGGAGGGCAAGATCAGAACTGTCCCAGTGGAGTCAGTGTGTACCTCAGGCCGTCAGCATCTGATGCAAGTTCAAAGGACCTGCCCGGCACGTATGTACGTCTGCTCAAGGGTGGCTCCCCCGGACAGGAAAGTTTCCCTCGTCCCGCCCCTCCGTTTCCCCACAGTCTCGCTGAACACTCACCACCGGTCAGGTTAAAAGAATTTCCAAAGGCCGAGAATGAATTGAGGGGGGTGAAGTCGGGGCTGCTTGGGTTGCTGACGGGGCTCCACAAACCAGAGCTGAGTTTTCAGGAGAGAAAGGACACAGAACAGGGGATGTTAGTGCACCGGGCCGGGCACACTGCACCACCCATCTGTAGGAGGCGTGGCTGCCCTCCCATGAGGGCAGGTCCCAGGGCCACAGAAGCCTGTGCCCGCCCACAGCCTGGGTCAGAGCAGGCGTCTGCAGAGGGGGGCAGATTTCTTAAAAAGTGGCTTCACACCTAGGACTTCCCACTGATAGAGAGGCATGGGGCCTGCTGCTGTCACTCCTCTAGGCGGGTCACCAGTGTGGGTGGCTAATGCCACCACACTGCTACCTGTGTCAAGGGGCCCAGCTGATTCACGAGGGTTCCTGAGAAGCCATCAGAGTGCTCCCTCCAGCCCACTACGGTACTGAGGAGGAAATGTCTGGACTGGGGTCTGCTGGCCCATGGCCGGGGCCTGCTGCACCCCTTTCATCAGAGACTGTGGCTCCCCCAGCAGACAAGGCTTCTTAGCAGCACTATCTACATCTAACAGACATGGAAATGCCTCTGGGGGGGCGGGTGGCCGCGTGGAGGCGTCCTGCCCTCCCTGCTGATCAGGGGCAACCACATACCTGTCCGAGCCGTCGCTGTCAACGGGAATGTGAGAGATGCCAAGGCTGCTGGAAAAGTCTGTTTTGCTTGAAGACACTTTAGCAAAGCCATTCCCACCTGTGACAGTGGATCTGTGTCAGTGAGGGCAAACAGTGACCAGGGCCACGCAGCCGCCTTGTGCCCAGGTGTGCCGGCCTTGGGGCAAAGGTGGGCACTCACCAGGGCTCTTGTCATAACCCGCCGTGACTGCAGCAAAGGTGGGGTTGCCGTTCTTGCCCGGGAGCGAAGCTGCTTTCGTCAACTTGCTTTTGCTTCCGTTTGGCTGCTTTATTTTCGGGTCACTAAGGAAGAAGCAGAGTGAGGACTGAGTCCTGGCCAGCTGTGCCCACAGCGGGGCCAACAGGGCCTTCTCAGGGCTGCCCTGGGCGTGCTGTGGGTCAGACTGCTTTGTTAGGTGGCAGTGAGGGGTCTAGGGACTGCAGAAGCTGCGATCGTGTTCTGGGGAGTGCTGGGAGGGGCCACTCTGAAGAGCCACCACTGCCTCCATGGGAGTAGACCTCAGAGGGGGCTCCTGGCACAGCAGGGTGATAAGCCCACCGTGGCAAGGCCTGAGCAGGCTCTCCAGCCATGGTGATCACCGCCTCTTGCCAACTCTGGGGGAACCTACATGAGCCTGCCAGGATGGGACACACAGATACCCATGATGATGCTGGCAGCTGGTGAGCCCACCTTCCAAAATCAACTCGCTAATGGTCCCAGGCAGACACAAGGGGCTCTGCCTGAGCGAGTGTGGCTGGTGGGTCCCCTGGCAGGGCCCGTCTGCCATCCTAGCCAGAGCCCTCCCAACATCAGGTCTTAGCGCCACATAAACCCGTGTCCCCAACCTCACTTAATGCCTGATGTGCTGAGAGTGCCCTGGCCAGGCCAGGGTGACAGCAGGGAGTGACTCAGAATAGGAGCAGGATCATTGCTGGCCCCAGGTACAAGGGCCAAGGGCAAGCACCCGAGGTGTGGCAGGACAGTGATGGTGGCCGTTGGATGCCCCTGCTGAGAAGAGGCCCCTACCTGCCGGAGCTGCTGTTGACGATGCTGCTGTAGCTGCCCCGGGACGTGAACGGGCAAGGGGCGGCAGGGGGAGATGGAGAGGCGGGGCTCGGTGAGGTCTGGCGTTGTTTTAAGAAAATGTCTGCGTTGAGGGTTTGCAGAGAAAGTTTATAAAGACTGTCAGTTGCTGGAAATTAAACACAAAAGGCCTCATTAATGTGATATTTTGTGCTCTTTATCAGCTACTTCCGACGTTCTCAGCACATGTGGGACTCAAGCTAAGGCGCTGACGTGTTCTGCTTAAAGGTTTTAAAGAGAAACCAGAAGTTCATTTGTGTGTGCCCTCGGGGGCGTCAGGGGCTGGTACCTGCACTGTCCCTGCCAGGCTGGCCGGGTGCTCTTGGGTCTTGACATCTTCTGCTTCCTGTTCCTCAGGATGGCAGCTGAAGCCACCACCTGGGCTGAACGTCCCCTGTTCTACAAGAATACCTTGTCTCCCCCTTGGTGTGAGCTGCCCTGGCCCCCAAATCACAAGGATATGCTCTGAGAATCCACCTGGCCTGGTAAGTACCATCCACAGGCTGGCGTAAAGACTCCCGGTAGATGTCTTACAATGTTTATTCTGCATCAAGATGGCAGTCCAGCACAACTGGACAGGAAACCCACCACTGCCCTGCTCCGAGTGCTGCCCTAGGATGAGGAGCAGGAGGGGGCTCCTGGTCCTTAGCCCTCTCCGCTTGATGCGTCCTGCAGAGGCCCTGGCTCCTCTGCAGTGCCCTCTGCCTGTGGCTCTGTGCCCTTGTCTCCAGAGCCACAGCCAGCCCCTTGCTACTCTCTCCAGTACTGTGATGTGAGGATCTGGCCGCAGGCAAAAGACCACTATTGTGGGGTGACAACTCTTGGATGATCAACAACCTGACCAGGTCATTCCACCGTGCACAGAGGCAGTGCTGTGCTGGTGTCCAGCTTTCGGGGACAGAGCCCTGCATGAGCCTTTGCCAACACGGCTGGAGCACGTGCTCCCACGGTGTGGGTGGCCCCGGGCGCCAGGTCGGTACTCACAGCTGCCGGGCCTGTGGATTGGCACTGCGTCCCACTCTGGTGGCGGAGAGTCCTTCTCACCCTCTGAGCTGCTGGTGTTGCCTGGTTCTTGACTACTGGGGAGAAATTTTGCTAGGGCAGGTGGTCTGTTGTCCACTAACTTATTTGTACCTGCACAAAAATCAAACATTTGTTAAGGGAGGGGAATTCCTTAGTTCTGCTCCCTCCTTCCCTCTCAGGTGGGCACATGCCCCAGCCTCAGGTGGCTGACCACTCAGATCAAAACGACAATACCTTTTGTTTTCTGGGAATTTCGTGACTTGGATCCACTTGTCAAGGCAGTTGGAAGAGGAATCTTGGTTGGGAGATTTCTACGCGGTTTACTTTCCAACGTGGGAGGGTACGGTAATTCTAGAGAACTGGAAGACAGCCAGGGAGGGAGACGCGTGTCTGTTGCTCTGGGTGAGGGCGGAAGTCACTGATGCTAAGTGGACTTCCTCCAGGCTCAGCCCAGCCCAGCCCAGGACCAGCTGTGTGCTCAGCTTCCCAGGGCTGCTCAGGAGACACTCAGCATGTAGACCCTCACCTGGTTCAGGTACAGGTGAGGGCTACGGCATCCACTTCAGAAAATGGGTACAGAGCCCTGAACTGTCATGTGGGGCTGCTAAGTGTGGCCGCGGGCCTGGAGCTCCTGGGCCACTGTGGGACTCGTGAACATACAGACGTCAAAGATCTCAGACCCGCCCCACCACAGCTCCTGCTACTCAAAACCCTGGACACTTTCCCATAGAAACTCTGGAGGGGGGGCACCTGTGCCAAGTTCCTGGCTACTGTGGAAATGCACCAATTCCTTGCAGAGAAGCAGGGCCGCACCTCGTGCCTGTGGTCCAGGGGAGCAGGGCGCCATGAGAGAGCTCAAGATAATACACATGTATAAGCAGAGACGGGCACAGTGGCACATGCCTGTAACCCAGCAACTCGGAAGGCCGAGGAAGGAGGATGCCAAATTTGAGGCTGGCCTTGGCAACAAGAATAAATAGGGGCAATTAACTAACTGACTTTTCATTCTTTAGTCTCTCTGCATGTCACAAATTTTCTATAATTAATAGGTATTATTTCAGGAATTAATATAAGAGCTAACCAAAAACTCAGAGGGTCTCTTAGCCCAAATAAACAGAATTTTAATGCGATAACAAACTGACGTTCAAAGAATCAAAAACAAACAAAAACCACGCACTGCTGATGAGTACACATCAGTACACAGAGCCATAATATCTTTTGCTGCTCTTCTACTTCTGACTGACAGGGTTATTTAAAAACTGTCTTCCAAAAAACCCGGAAGGCTGCCTGAGGCAGACACCAGCCCTGGTGCAGGGTGTGGGCATGGGCTATTTTTGGGGTAGGTAGTCAAGGAGTGGGGGGATGTCTGTACAAAGCTTAATTCTGCTACTATAACATTAATTGGCTTTTTAGGAAAAAGGTGCCAGACTATTTCATTTTTGTTGATTAAGCCAGATGATCTCTACCAAAATACTTTTTTAAGGCTTCCAAAAAAATGGACAAGAACCAACTTTTATTAGGTGGCTTTTCCTAAAAGGGAAGGGAGAAGGTGGCTCTCACAGGCTTTGTCCCTGCTCCCGTCACACATGCTGCATCGATGTCTGGGGGACAGAGGCTGAGTGGGTGGAGACGGGTGTGCTCCCCATGATGAAGGGCTGTGGTCTAGTGATGCAGTCCAGGGCCCTGGGCTCTGCTGCCTGTGCAAGTACGCTGCTGGAGAGTGTATGGCTTTTGGTCCACATTCCAGACTTCTCTCTGCTTATCACAGATTTTATATTCCAATTATACAAATGTGTAAAAATGCTCATAAACAGAAAATTCAATGAGCAGAGATGATTGCTGTCCTAAAGCAGGATGTCCTGGACCCTTCCTGATTCTGTGGAAGCCCTTTCAGTGCTTGAGGTCTAATCCTATTTCGGGCATCTGTGACCTGCGATGGAGTCTTCTGGAGTCCACAGGCCTGCTACCATAGGTGCTAAAGCTGGGAAAACAGACCACGTTTCTGCCACCGCAGCCCCTGCTCCCAGTCCCAGGAGCTGACTTCTACTAAAGTCTGCGCTCAGGGTGTGGCTGTAGGGTGACACAGAGCCCAGGCCCTTCCTCTGGCCTATGATCATATGCACAGCTGGACAGGATCTCAGGCAACTAAAGCCAGGACTGGCCCTGATGGTGGCCACCCGTCAGCATGCTGCATTCACCACCACCGCTCGCTGGCGGTGATGAACTGGGACTCTCAATGTTTTACCCTTAAATTTGTAGAAACAGAGGACAATCAGTGGGTTTGAAGAGATCAGGAGACTGAAGGTGCATGTGTGGGGCGTGCTGCCCGAGTGGCCTTCTGGGACCCATTTCTTTATCAGCTATCCATCAAGAGAATGGAGAACTGCGGCGGAGAGAATTAACTCACAGACCTCACAAGGGTGCAGGCTCCAGTGAAGCCTTTTCCAATTAGGAGCCTGCTAATGGCCAACGCAAACCCCAGAACACCACAGGAGTCAGCACAAGAGGGCTGAGAAGAGGAGCGCATCCTGTCTGCTCAGTCTCAGGCACTAAACTCAGGCACCAGGGCTAGGGCTAGCAGACGGCAGATCTGGTGATGTCACCTATGGCACAGCATCTCTAAGACCATTCTTAGGAGCACTGGTTTTACAATTTACAATCACAAAATGTACTGCATAACTCTATTTGCACAAGATCTCTGCACACCAAAAGCTCTTTAGTAACCTACTAGTTTAACGCCCTCATTTATTCCGGGAACACTCGGTAGCGAGTCTAGCCGTGGGGCCCGAGTTGGAGGTGTTTCCTGAGAGAACCGTCTGGCTGGGGATACCTGCTCTGAACTTTCTTTTTGGTAGGAACAAACTTGCAAGTTTTACAGCACAGAGCTTGAGGTCCTGACATCAGCTCTGGGCTGGTGCTGCAGCAGCCTTGGGGCGCTTTCTGGAGGATGTCACACTTTTACCTGTGCTGGCCATCAAGGTCACCTTGAGCAGAACTGAAAAGCCTCTCTGCCCGGGAATGAGTCATAAACTGAAATTCTCCTCCATACCTGTCCCCTGGCAGCAGATCATCAAGCTGCCCCCCGCCCCCCCGGGCTAACACCTGGAGCCCGTGTTAGCAGCGAATGTGACGAAAGCCCCAAAGGAGCGTGGCTTTTGCTGCAAAGGCCCTGGAAGCCCACCTATCCTCATTCCTCTGCACCCTCTCGCTCCTCACCTGGGTTTCACATCCGTGGGGATTTCTTTCTTAACATTTAAGAGCTTTTTGCTTTTTTGCTTCACTTGAGACGTTTCATTTTCATGTTTTCCGGGCATGGCTTGTTTTCCCTTTTGCTTTTCTGTATCCTGTAAAAAAACGCATGTGGAATTGCTGAGAAGGATTAATAAAAACGACAAATGATAAGACACTAAGAGGTAGTGGATATATGTTGTGAAATGAATAAACGTGACACATTCCTTCCCTGAAATCTACTGTAGTTTTGTCAATTTTTCAACCACATTACGATTGTAACTATAATTATGTTTTGGTGAGTCTGAGTTTTTTACAGAGTTCATTTTAATATACTCCTATCTGATAGAAGCGGGTGGTGGCAGTGGAAGAAGCAACTGGTAGCTAAGGAGAGTTGAGCGAAGACTATAAACTTAAACACTCCTAGCAACGTGCCCAATCCAAAGAACAAAACTCAGGGCCAAAAAGCCAGGCAAGCCGTCCTCTACGTGTCCACACCTGGGCCTTCCACTGAACCAGCGTGTGGCCGGCTCAGTGGGACTCAACAGGACAAGGCTGAGGTATTCATTCACCTGCTCGACACACATTTACTAGACACCCACCTGATGCCAGGTAGTGGGACTGGTGTGCGGGTCTGGCCTCTTCCCTCAAGGACCTTGAGGCCTAGCAGGTGGAGAGAGACAGGACAACCTGGGAGCAATGTGGGCCCGTGGTGTGACAGAGCGCTCTAGAGGGTTCTCGCCTGGCCGCCAGGTAGAGCCTGGGAGGGCCACCTAGGCTGCCCCCAAAAGCCAGACCAGTGCAGAAGCTGCACGTGCATCGTACAGTGACTGACGCTGCTGTGGCGTGCGCACATGAGGTCAGTGGACCTGTCCCCTGGACAGGCGTGTCCGCTCAGGTGCTGGGGAACCCACCAGGTGAACTGCTCGTGGGAAGGCAGAACACCAGGCTGGCTCTTTACCAGTCACTCAAGGAGCACTAGGGGACAGAGAGGAAGGACACACCCAGCAAAGGGGGCAGCGTGCACGCTGGGTGGAGCCTGGGGTGGAGTAGCACCTACCCACCAGCATCCAGCCCTCCCACATGGTGACGACGACACCCTGACTTAGCAGGCCATGCCAGGCCAGGCGACTGTCCATGACATCAAGCACAGGCAGGTACATCAGCCCCTGGCTCTTACACTCTGAAGACTACTTTGAGTTACTGGAGAAGCATCTCCTGAACACTCAGTCCACTGGGGGCCACAGACTGAGAGCTCAGGAGGACAAGGCTGTGGCCTCCCTGTCCAATGGTGCTCAAGCATCTGGCACAGGCCTGGCATTCAGGGGTTTCAAGTGTTTGTTCAGTGAATGGGCAGAAAAGACACGAGGAAAACAACCTCTTGCATGTGACCTCGCTGGGAAGCAAATACACCATCTGCCAACTGGGCCTGGTCACAAAGGAAAGCTCCTGACCTCTGTGGGCACCGCACCAGGACAGAACCCACCGAGGCAGCCAGACAGGCCTGGGTGCTGCCACAGCATGTGCACTTGGGGCTGCTGCTGGGTGCAAGCAGGGGCAGGCAGAGGACAGTGCCAACAAGGGCGCCAGGATGGTTTAGTGGGTGCAGGAATGCTGGCAGGTGCCAGCCACTTAGGGTGACCAGGGTGCGGCTGCCACAGGGGAGGATGAGCCTGTGCAGCCAGGGCCCCGGGGCGTGCAACAGCTCCCTGCTCTCTAGAGGATCAAGTGCAGAACCCCAGTACTGGCTAGAAGCGGACCAAGCAGACAGCATGGGCCAACTAGGAGGGGTACGCAGAGCAAGGCCGCTGCCCGGATAGCAAGGCACACGTGTTTCCAAAATTAATTCACCCTGCAGGCACTGCTGGGCACATTTAAGAATTGACTTCTTAGGTCACTAGACTGAAGTTGAAAGAGACTCTGCTCCGTGATCCCTTTAAGTCTCAAACATTCATCTAAAAGGCGTCAAAGCAGAACCATCCCCACCCTGCACACAGCTCGGAGCTCACGATCCATGGCTGGGACTTTCTCCTCTGCGATGCTGTGGGATGCTGCCACATGCTGGGCGTTCTGCAAGGTTATTCCTGAGCAGAAGACTCCAGGGACAAGGTGGAATTCTCATGGCTCTCATGTCCTGGGCTGGGTTCCTAGCTCTGGGTGACCACTAAAGCCTGGGGTCTCGCCCTGGGCCACACCCTCCTGGGATAGTCACTGCCCCACCTGCCTGGGGAGGGAGCTGCTCCCAATGTGACACCGTGACCATGAAGTCCTGACGCTACCCAGCCTCTCGACACAGACAGCACCTGTGAGCTAGTAATAGGGGTCACTATTCCTGATACTCCCAGCTCTGAAGTGGTGCTTCCAAACGTCCTTCACCAGGGTAGGTGCAGCCGTCCATCCCCAGCTGGCCCGGCACGAGGTCTGACCCGTCCCCAAGGATCCCCAGCGCTGCACTACACCAGGCCCGCGGGGCAGGTGCCTGCCGCCTACCTCCTTGAGCGGCTCGGTGTCAGGGTTGGAGGCCTCGGTGGTGGTGGAGGAGCTGTCGTCGTCGGCCAGGGACCCCTTCAGCTCGTCCTCCGGGGGCCTTCCCTTCCCCTTCTCCTCCTTCTCCTCCTGCTTTTTCGGGGCTTTGACCTTGCGCTGAAGGCCTTTGCCTTTCCCTGCGGGTGAGAATCAGGTAAAGCCCGCAGGCGGCGGGGAGCCCAGCCTTCGCACCTTTTAGAAGAGGCTGGACTCTTTGTCACTCATGAGGGTTTGAACCTTTCCAAATCAGAACTGGATTAGATTATTAAAAACATCAGTTCACGGGCACGGTTTGTGTGTAACCAACTGCTGCCCAGAGTGTATGGCTGGTGAGCTTGGACCACTCTGTCCACCTGGCAGACCTGTTGTCAGCCTGAGAGTGCCCCAGAGGGCGATGAGCTCTGTTGTCACACGGTGGAACCAGGTGCCTCTGAGACCTGCTCAGAGATGGAGGCCCAGTGGTGACACATGTGATGAGTGGCCCTGTGACTTTGGGGGCTAGGAACCTGGCAGTGGAGCCATGGTGGCCAGTCTCAATGCTGCTTGCCCCCAGCTGCTGGGGGTCCTGGCCTTTGTTTGCACCGGAGAGAAAAGCGCTCGGAGGCTCCTGTGAACAATCACAGAAGGCCTCAGGACAGCGGCTGGCACAGGACACCGGGTGGCACAGGACACCGAGTGTGGCCACACTGGCTACAGAGCGCCTGTAATGAAAGACCTGGATGCACCAAGACTAACAAGGCCCAACCCCATGACATGTTTGAAGGGGTGCTGTGTGTGCCGGGAGCACAGCAGTGAGCAGCCATTCCTGCCTCGCGGAGCTGCTCCTGGGTATGGATGGGACACGCAGAGACACCCCCAGGTTCCACACCTCAAAGGCTCCTGCAGAACACCAGGGGGCAGGGCTGCACCCCAGCCACTCCTGTGTGAGTTGTCATTTCTAAATACATCCTTTGAAAACAGTGACTTCATACAATTTAATGTGAACCTCAAGTTTTATGCTTTTTCTCAAAGAATGTCACTGTTAATAGGTTCCAGGGACTCAAACCTTGGCATCAAGATCAGAGGTTGGTGAACTGTGGCCCATGGGTCAAATGTGGCCTGTGGCTGTTTTATATGGATTATGAGGGGAGAATGATTTCCATAGTTTTAAGTGGTGTAAAACAAACAAACAACAAAAAATGACTAAATAAGCCCCAGAGAAAGTCTGTGGTCCACAAAGCCTCAGATACCACCTGACCCTTTACAGAAAGTTTGAAGAGCCTGGTCTGGTAAAAGAAAAAGTAAGGCTCTGGGATAGGAGTGGTGGTAGCAGTCCCAGCGGCTCAGGAGGCCGAGGTAGGAAGATTTCAAGTTCAAAGCCAGCCTCAGCAACTTAGTGAGGCCCTAAACTACTCAGTGAGACCCTGCCTCTGAATAAAACAAAAAGGGCGGGGGAAGGAAAGATAAGGCTCTGGGGTGGTTTCCAGGAATGTCCCTCTGTCACTTCACAATGATCCCAGGAGGTGCTGGATTTGAAACCATAACTGGATATTAAGTCTCAAAATTAGGGCCTTCATCCCAGGAGAAAATTGACCAGTTTGATTTAGTCACCACAGCACTTGACATCCCTGGAGGGCCAGAGCGCCTCCCCACCCTGGGAGAAGGGAAAGGGTGTGTCCTGCTCCAGAGGAGCCCAGTCCTGAGCCATGAACTTCTCACCTGCGCTGCACAACTGGCCAGTGCTGCGGCCTGGGTAAGCACAGTGAGGTGTGGGAGGAGCTGGACTTACCTACCCTAGCCCAGACCTCCACAGCAGGAGAGGAGTGGAGTTTTTATAGAACTGAACTCAAATTTTAAAGCCATGGATAGACAAAGAAGAAGAAGAAATACTTATACCAATAATTAAGTTGAAAACTTGGGTTAAAAAGGTATTTTATGAAAGAGTAGCTTATACTTTTTGCCTCCAAGTCTTTATCTTCTTCTCATTAACTTTTTAAACATGCTGCCCTTGACTTCTGTTCTCGGTGCCTTCATGGATGTGATTTTGGAAAGCTTCACAGTGACCCCTCCACCATGGAAGCCAAGGACTCGCCTCCCGTCCACCCCTGGCCCAGAGCACCTGCAGAGTCAAGGCCTCTCCCGGCCTGCTGCCAACACCATCACTGCTGGACTTCTCTTCTGACAACGTTTTTGCTGGTGCTCCTAGCAATCTGCCCTCTTCCCCTTCTATTCTCCTTGGGGGCTCACTTTAAGCAATTCAAATCTAAAATGTCTAAAACTAAGTTAAATACACTAAAATCATCTTTCAGGCTCTCAGTCTATAAAAATATTTCTTAAGCAGACACACTTTAGGATAACCCAGGGAGCTTAAATAAATACGTGAGAGATTCTGAATGAATGGCTCTGGAGGGGACAGTGGCATAAGTGGCACACAGTCACTCTAAAAAAATCTTCTAAACATGATGGCCCAGGCTGAAGTGGCAGCATAGAGACACTCGGTGCATCTCCAAGGAAGAACAATACCCAGCGTGAACCTGGTGACAGAGGAGGGGTCTTCGCAGGGCAGCATGTTCACCAGGCACTTACCACGGTGGCATGAATGTCCCTGAGGCCAGCCGCCCCCTTCTTCCTCCTCCTCCTCCTCCAGTGACCCAGCAGACTCCAGCTCAGGGGCTGGCTCACCTCCTGTGGACACCAAATCCCTGGTGACATTCCCCTTTGGAGGCTTCCAGCTTTGCCCCTTGGGCTCCATTTCTCCCTAGCACCATGAGGGCAGCGCTCAGGCCTCAGAGATCTGTCGCCCTCTACCAGCGCTAGCAGCAGATGCGGGGCTGCCCTTGGTTTTGTGCCATGGAAGAAGGAGATATCGACCCTGGGACCTGCACCTGGACTCACTACCCTAAGACCAAACTCTTATCCCACCTCAGGGCTTTCTAAGTAACTGACCCCAGCCATGAGTAGGTCCAAGTAGACCTGACAGCTCGAATGGGAGGCCTGCAGCCGAGGGCGCTGCTGGTGAGATCACAGCACACTCACTTAAGACTCTCCAACCTGACTTGAGTTTCTCTACTCACTGGAGCCAGACAGGAAACAGAAACCCCCTTAAAAACACCCAGAGGCCTAACAATTTTGTGAAGACAGAGTAGATGTACTTTTCCTTATTCTTCCTGTTAATAAGCACATCTAAAATCCCTGGGCAGTATATAAAATAAGCGTAAGAAAGTTCTGAGAGGAGGAGAGACGGTGAGACAGACAGTGGCCCAAGAAAAGGCATGGCGGTGCGCTCCCTGAACTTTCTCCTTGCTACACCTACCTTCCCCGTGAGCATCAATGCACACAGGCAAAGCCCTAACAAGGGCAGGAGGGGCATCCTGCAAGACAAAAGCCTTCTTCCCTGCCAAACACCACGTGCTCCCACCCCAGCACGCCAGCCAAGGCTGAGCAGAAGCCCAGACTCTCTCTTGCAAGGCCATCACCAGGCCCCCAGTATGCCTGCCAGGTTGGTGTCAAAGAGGACCTGGGAGGGAGCAGGGCGTGGGTCAGGACGTCCTCCGCTGCCCGCTGTGCCTCTGCTGACAACTCCAGTGCCCAGAACCCCAACCCCACCCAGCAGCAATGAGGAGTCTTCCCACCCTCAGGTGCCAACAGGGGACAAGAAGCAAATCAAGACTTGTAACACACCCTGTCCCCTTCCCCTGTCAGAGCAATGTCAGAGAAAGGCATCAATAACAGGAAGGCTGAGAAAGAGCCAAAGTCTCAGAACATCAAGACTCCAGGGGTCCAGGTTTCAGTCTAGTCATTCTTTATACCAAGAACCAGGAACCTCTCAAATTAAATGAAAACAAACAAAAAACCCAACTGACTGATGCCAACGCCAAGGAGACAGATATGTTAGAACCATCTGACAAAGCCATAACTGCTGTCCTAATGAAGCCAGATTTACAGATAGATAGGTAGTTAGGTAAATCGGGTCTAATAAGATAAATAAAATGGAGCCATTACAGAGAATGGAGTCCAGGAGAGCAGAGCAGCACCTGGGGGAATTGAAATGTTAATGTCCCCAAGGCCCAACCCATCCTAAGGAACTGCTAATGAAGCAGCTCCCAGCAAACAGGGAGGTGCTAATCCAAAAACTGCCCCAGGCCCTCCCTGCCCAGATTACTCCTCCAGCCCACCTGTCCCCTACCCTTTGGGCCTTCCCACCTGCATTTCCATCACTGCAGGACAGAGGGAAACAAAGGACAGGAGTGTGGGAAAGCTGAAAGAAGACCTTATAGGCCTTTTGGGTCCCCTTCTTCCTCGGGGAGAAGTCTTTTCTGCTGTCCTTTAATAAAGCTTCCACTCGCCTCGGCATGTGCTTCTCTGGTGTTGTTATATTTCAGCAATCGGGAAAGCGAGGACTCGTCACCAGTACACAGCAGTGACACTAAGCAATCACAAACACGCCTGAAATAAGCAAAAAACTGAAGGCCTCAGCGAACAAATGTAAAATGCAAGGAAGAACACAATGAAAATCATAGAACTGAAAAATAATTGAAATAAAAGGCTCAGTGCGTGGGCTGAAGAGCAGAAGGGAGGAGACAGGAAATAATCGTAAGCCTGAAAACAGGAAATAGAAATTATGAGTGCAAACAGAAGAAGTGAAGAGAGGATCTGTGTAATTATAGCAAAAGAGCTAATATTGTGTTATCAAAGTTTCAGAAAGAAAGGAGAAACAGGAGGGGCTGAAGAAGAACTCTAGAAACAATGGAAATGAAAATGTCCCCTTTCTGGGACACAAACCTACAAATCAAAAACAAAAGAGAAAGCCTGAAGCAAGATAAATGCAAAGGAATCCACACCAAGACACAGCAAAAGCAAACCTGGGAAAACTGAAAACCTGGAGGTCAGCCGGGAGAGCAAAGCCAAGCCGCCTGCCTCATCTGTAGGAAAAACAATCAGGATGACAGCTCTGTCTTCAGAAATCATGGAGGCTAGAAGCACTAAAGAAAACAACCGTTATCCCAGAACCCTCCACCCAGCTGAACACATCCTTCAGGAGCTTCCCAACATGCGCAAATGAAGGAAAACGAAGAGAATTTGAATCCAACTGACCTGCTCTAAAAGAAGAAATAGAAGAAGTACACAAGAGAGAAAGGATAACAAAAAAGGAACATGGGAGCATTAGGGAAAACCAAGAAGGAGTCAGCAGAGTATGGGTAGATCAGACAGGCTTTCCTCAGGACTTGAGTAGATTCTGAGTTGTGCTGGATGACTGAAGCAAAATTCTAACATTATCTGATATGGCTCTAAACGTATGTAGTAGAGATATTTAAGACAATTACAACTTGCAAAGGGCAAAGAAACATAAAGAGAGATAAGGTTTCTATACTTCACTTAAACTTGTAAGACGACCCCAGAAGACTGTGACAAATTATGGCCATTAAAATGTAATGCCTAGAGCAACTCCTAAAAAAACTATATAGAGAGATATTCTAGAATATGCTACTTCCCTAAAAAAAAAAAAAAAAAAAAAAAAAAAAGTAATCCACAGGAAGGTAGGAAAAAGAAAGAGAAAATGGAGACTGAAGAGAAAACAAATATAAAGTGATGGGTTTAAAGTTTTAAAACATCAATAATTATATTAAAAGTAAATGGTCTGATTATGTAATCAAAAAGACAGAGACTGGCAGATTGGATTAAAAACTACGACCTAATTTTGTGCTACCTATGGAAAACTCATTTCTAATATAATGATATAGGAAAGGTAGAAGTAAAGAAATGGAAAAAAATGTATCATGGAAACATAAAAGCAAGAGAGGCTATATTAATAAACTTCAGACAATTACTAGGGACAAGGGAGAACATTATATAATGATAAATGGTCAAGCTACCAAGAATATACAGCAATCTTAAATGTGTATGCATTACTCAGAAGAGCTGCCAGCTAAGTGAAGAGAATGAGAACTGAGAGAGGAATACACGGACAGCTGGAGAGGACAACACCTCCTGTCAACAACAGATAGAACAACTAGATAGAAAATCAGAAAGGATCTGGAAAAAACCCAACAATATCATCCACTGACATTAATCTAATGGACATTTATAAATTTTTCTCTAAAAAGAAAAAAAAAAGGGGGAGAATGCATATTCTTTTTAAGTGCCCACGGATCGCATGCCAACATAGGCCAAATCCTGGGCCATAGAACAACCTCAACGTATACAGAAGAACTGAAATCATTCAAAGTTGTTTTTTCCTAACATAATGGATTCAAACTAGAAGCAGTACTAGAAAATCTCTGAACACCTGGAAACTAACAAAGCACTTATAGGTAAACCATGGGTCACAGAAAGTCTCAAACCAAAAACATACAGAACTGAATGGAAGTTCCACATGTCACACTGACACACAGATACAGCAGGGTTCACAGGGAAACTGAGAGCACCAGGAGTATATGCTAAAAAACGGCTTCCACCCAACAACTTAAAAAGAGCAGGTAAGCAAAGCTAAAGGAGCAGGAGGAAGAGAAGAGTAAGAGTAGGTGCCAAAAGCAAAGCCATTAAAACAGGCAGTGGACAAAGGTCAAGAAACAAAACCCGAGTCTCTGAACCGACACACCTCTAGCAAGACAAAAAAAGAAAAGAAAAAAAAAGACAAATTACTGATATCAGAAATAAAATGGGATATCACTAAAGTTATTTATCCAAAGTAACTACCATAGGGATACATATATTCCCATGTTTATATCAGTACAATTCACAAGAACCAAGTTATGGGGTCTGTCAGCAGATGAATGGATAAAGAAAATGTGATGTATGTACACAATGGAGTTTTCCGAAGCCATAAAGAGAACGGAATGACGTCATCTCCTGGATGGACACAACTGAAGAACGTCATGCTGAGTGACATAAGCCAGACTCAGAAATCAAGGGTTTAATGTCTGGTCTCATGTACAGAAGCTAGAGAGAGAGGGAGAGAGGGAGGGAGGGAGAGAGGGAGGGAGGGAGGGAGGGAGGGAGAGAGGGAGGGAGGAGCAAGGAGGGCAGCATAGTAGAGGAAGGACCAGGGGCAGGAGGAGTGGGGACAGGGAGGGCAGGGGATGAAATTGACCAAATCATGTTTTGCACAGTGCACACATCACAACGACCCCACGTACAATTACAATGTACCAATGAAAACCATCACAAAACCCCCAACAGAAGGAGCCAATAGAGTAGAGGAGGGGACAGGAAGAGGGGAAGGACAGCAAGGGCAAGCAGGGGGAATGAAATGGAACGATGACGTCACCACAGACCCACCAGGACGTACAACACACTGACAAAACATGATAAAAGCAAAAACTCTACCATGTAATACATGCATTCTTTTTTTTTGTTAAAAATTAAAGAACATACACAAAGAATTAAAGAACACACACACTCACACAAAGAATTAAAGAACATAGAAAATACAGGTCAAGAACAAATGCCTGTAATACACACTCTAATCTGAAGTTATTAAAGCCAGTTACCTGATCTAACTGGCTCCTAACACTTCTCAGAAATTGCGCCACGCATGTCCTAATTGCCAGTCTCCATGGGACGCCAGTCTGCCCTGCTCAGGCTGGCGGGGCATCTGGCTACGTGTGACTTCACCTGCTCTCCTGCAGGCTGGCTGCCTCCTGGTGCGTCCTCCCCCTCAGCAGACCAAGGACAGCAGCATCATGTCCTGCCTGACAGGCACCTGCGTGGTAGCTACCTCTGTAGCACAGGTGAAGACTACTCTACATTCTGAGGTGTCAAGTGGCAGCTGAGGGGTGATTTTTTTCTAAAGCCACACAGCTGGAAAGAGGCAGAGCCAGGGTTGAATCTGGGCCTGCCTGATGGTGGGACCTGGCCTCAAGACACTGCACCACCTTGCCTCTCCCTGCCCTTGACAAAGCTATCCACCAAATCACCAAGGCTGGAAAGTAGAATGGCTGCAGATGCCACCATTCTTCAGTCACCACACACCAAGAACCGACCTCGCCAGGTTTTGGGACTTTCTCCGATTTTAACCTTCAATCCAGCAATGGCCTCTGTCCAGTTTGTGTGTTCCAGGTGGGAGAAACTGAGGAAGTACAGAATGTAATGACCATCCCTGCCCAGCCAACCGTGAACAGGGGGCACTCCTGGGCACCTTCCTCCAGAAACAGCGGCTAGACAGAGGAGAAGAGAATGTTGGCTGGCCCACAAGCCGACAGCCAGGGAAGACAAGATCAAGGAGACCAACACATGAACTGAAAGGGAAGGCTGCTGAATGTCCCCAAGGGCTCGACATTACAAGAATTTCTGTTTGAGATCCGGGGTGGGGAGAATGGTCTGCTTCTAAAAAGAATAAGTGCACATTCCAAGTAAGCGCAATGACATGCTCAGGGTGAGTCTGTGAGGAATGACGAAGGTTCTCTCCAGCTGAAAGAATGGTTTCTCCACACACTGTTCTGCGACTCCGAGATCCATGTCCACCTTTCAAAGTTGGTAATTTTTTTGGGGGGGTAGTACTGGGGATGGAAGCAGGGCCCTGTGCCTGCTAGGCTAGTGTTCTACTGAGGGTGAGCTACATCCTCAGCCCTAAAGTTCATTTTAGAGACTGGTTTTCTACATTTATACTTCAATAAAAACAGTTATTGAAGGAAAAACAAAATATATTCTGACTCCTTCCTTTTTACCAAACAGCAACAGAGGGAAGGAAATTAAGTAGCGGGCCCCCTGCCTCCCGAAGGTGCAGCCCCAACTCCATCGGCAGATTGCTCTTTGGAGGGTACTCTGGGACCACTCTGAAAGCCAAAGAACAATTTTTTTTTTTCATCTTAAAAGTTAAGATATGTATTTTCTGTTAATAAGAGGTTAATCAAAAAAGGATTTCTGAGGCAGGAGGATCATTGAGTTCAAAGTCAGCCTCAGCAACTTAGTGAGGCCCTAAGCAACTTACCAAGACCCTGTCTCTAAATAGAATATAAAAAAGAGCTGGGGGGCTGGGGTTGTGACTTAGAGGTAGAGGGCTCGCACGTGCGAGGCCCTCTGTCTGATCCTCAGCACCACATAAAAATAAATAAATAAAATAAAAGGTACCGTGTCCAATTACAACTAAAAAATAGATATATCAGGCTGGGGTTGTGGCTCAGTGGTAGAGCGCTTGCCTAGTGCAGGCGGGGCACTGGGTTTGATCCTCAGCACCACATAAAAATAAATAAATAAAAATGTAGGCATTGTGTCTACCTACAACTAAAAAAAATAATAAAAAATATGTATATATTAAAAAAGGGGGGGAGGCTGAGGATGTGATTCAGTAGTTAAGCATCCCTGGGTTCAATTCCTTGCACTAATTAAAAAAATAAATAAAGAAAGGAAGGAAGGAAGGAAGGAAGGAAGGAAGGAAGGAAGGAAGGAAGGAAGGAAGGATTTCTGTAGAACTTAATAATGTTCAAGGGAACATTTTACTGTTTAACAAACACAAATGCATGGAATTTCAATATAGCCAGTCTTCACATGACTGGGACTAAGATGTTCTGTAAAGGAAAACTCCTAGACACTGAATGTCAGGTTTCTCCCCACTTCTTAGGGCCACGAAGGTTCCTGTTCCTGTGCAAACAAAGGCAAAAACTCCTTGGTGAACCAGTGAGGAGGAACTTAAATAGGGTTGGGGTAATATGTATTAGCACAGCTGCCTCCAAAGAGGAAGGAAGATGCATAGTTCATGCTGTAAAGGGATAAAGTTGAAATACAAGTAGAGGTCACTGATAGGTTTTCTTCATTTTGGTTGTAGAAGTCTGGCTTGGCCCACCCATCTGAGTGGCACGAGAACTTCCAAGATGGCTTCCATCTCACCTCTTAGTACTTCTGCCCTGGTGCAATATGAGTATGGGCTGTCTCTTGGAGAATGGGCTGGACCACATGTCCAATGAACCGAAAAACTACAGAACTGATGGGGTGTCACTCCCAACATCACCGACTTCCAAGCTGCTAACCTTTGTCCTTTCCTGTCCTTTTGATTCTCATTCGGTTGAGCTGCCCTTTGGAGGAACCACCTCAGGCTTCTGGCCATAGCCAGCAAGGAACTGGGGCCCTTAGTCCTACTGGGAGAAGTGCCTTGTGCCTGGAAATAAGTGAATACTGCTATCAACCCCCTGCATGAGCCTGGAAGCAACTTCAGGGGAATCTTAAGGTGATTTTAACCTTGGCCGACACTTTGATTGAAGGCTGAGACAGCCAGAGGACCCAGCTAGCTGCACCCAGACTCCTAACCCAGAGGAACCAAGAGAAGAAAATTCTGGTGGTTTAGGTCACTAGGTTTCAGGGTAATCTGTTCCCCTGAAACAGGCAGCCAAGATAGTATGCGGAACTCTACAGCAGGGCTTGGCAAACTTGCTCTATGCCAGGCGAGATGGTAGGTTTTCAGCAGTGTGGGCCAGACTGTCCCTGCAGCGATTCTGCCGCTGGAGCAAGAAAGCAGCCACAGATAATATGCAAACAATGACTAAGGCTGTATTCCAGTAAAACTTTGTAAATACATGGTGATTTGGCCCATGAGCTGATTTTGCCAACCCCTGCTCTAAAGTAGAGTGGAAATCCTATTTTTTGAGTTATAAGACAGATGATCTTCATTTACCACTGTGTTTAAATGATTTTAACAAAAAAAATTATAGCAATATAACAATCACAGGTAGCTGAAAAGGAAAGTAGCAGATGTTCAAGAAATTTCTGACCGAGATGGAATCTAAGCTTTATAAAGCTATCTTTCTTAACAAATGGATGCCTCCATCTGCACTGTGATATGTTATAGCCTACACCGTCCCAGAGAGAAACCTGAGTCAGAGAGCACCCACAAGGGGAGCTGCTCATGTGGACCCCACCAGGATACCTCCTGACTGCCCTGGCTTCCCCTCACATGCCTTGCTCCTCTGACTGTGGGGACAGATGACTGATTACCTTTGCTTTTTGACAATGGTGATGGCGGCTGCTCTGTAAACACTTCTAGGGGTGGGGAGTCATGGTGCTCGAAGTCTTTGTCCATGGCTTCTATGAGACTGGTGATGTCCGAGTCCTCCGAGCTGTGCCTTGTGCTACTGGCACGTTCTGGGTGGGTGGGGTGTGCGAGGGGGGCGGGAGATAGCCGCTCGGGCTGCGGCTCCTGGTGCTGAGGCACTGGCAGTGCTGGAGGCTGCGCATGCTGCTCCAGGGGGCTGTGGCCGTGGTGCTGGCCGCTGTGCTGGTTCTGCTTTGCCCCTTTGGACCTTCTGCCCGCTGTGTGACCCTGGGGCGCTGCGTGTGCCTCGAAGACAAGGGGGCTTGTCTTGTTTGCCGACTGTGAGGAGGCTGCTTGTGCAGAAGTCCTGCTCGAGGTACTTGAACTGCTTTTGGCTCTGACGTTTTCCACGTCAGCTGAGTTTCTGTTGCTGTGGCTGCCGTGTGGGTGCATTGACGAGCCACACTGCTTGTGATTCCCTGCACCAGGCCGTGATGACGAGCCTCCTGCTCCACAGAACCCCCTACTGTGACTGGGGTCACAGCTGAGTGTATTCAAGCTGCAAAAAGGACCACTGCAGATCAGCAAAGAGTCACCTACAAAATCTAATATTAAAAGAACTTATTCCATCAGAACAGACACCACAAATAGAAACCAAGGGAAAAAAACATCAAGCAAGGGACAATTCCCACAACTTTCTAGGTTCTACTTTATGTGAAAAGTCAGTGATTAGAGGGTACCTGAACCTTAACCAATGTGATAAAGACATGGCTTCTGGGATGAACGCTTAGTAACCAAAGGCAACCAGGGTGTTAAGTAATTAGAAGTAAGGTTTTGTTCCTCCCAAGCAGAAAGGAAGACACTTGTTTAGTTTTTCTTGTAATCATATCAGCCAAATCCATGCCCACTAGAGAACTGATTGCCAGTGTGTGACATACTTTCCTTCAGATGAAATACCAACGATTCTCCTGAGGTCAAATGGCCTTCCCACATCAAAGGGTGGGTTTGAGGCCTCAAAGGATAGTCGCCGTCGAAATGGCTCCCAAATTCCTTGAGCTTCCAAATAGGCTGTTCCAATTACCAAGAGAAACAGTGCGCTGCAGAGTACAGGAAGTGGACAGGAGGATTGTTTGTTAGTGCAAGAGAAAAAAATTAGCTGTTAAACAGTTTTTGGTATGGTGTAGTATGATATAAAAACAAAGCTGTTGGTAGCAATTCTTAATGGGCAAGGCCTAAACCAAAAGGTCATGGATAAAAATGTGCACGCAAATTTTTATAAATGGCAATTTTACATGGAGTGAAATAATTTTACATGGAGGAAATAATTATTTGTATCAGAATGGATACCTGGAGGATGATTTTTCTTTTATTGAAAAAAAAAAAATCTGAGTTACAACTGTCTAGGCCAACTTTTCCCTTTTGTGCAACGTAACTATGTAAACTAGTTTGGGAGAGGATATCTGATTCTCAAAAATATACAAAGAAATATGTTGTTAAAAAATGGGATGCTGGGGACTTAAAAATATTTATAATCAGTTTTATGTTGCTTAGGCATATAATTAAGTATATATGCCCAAATCTAGCAAGTACCTGGCAAATTATGAATTTTTTAAAAGAAATCAACAGGTGCTTAATTTGGTTCTCTACTTTCAAAGGTAAATGCTTATACATGCCACTGAGGATGGCTGAGCTCTAACTGCCCCTTCTGGTACGGCAGTGTGGCAAGGGAAGAGCTGTGTTTGCTGGCAGCACATCCTAGCTCTCAGAAAAATGACCAGCACACAGCAGGGGCCTGATAAGTTGTGTCCATCAATGAATGAAATTCAACCTCAAAAGAAGACACAGTACCTCATTATTCCTGAGATGATGATGTACAGAGCCAGCTCCCAGTTGGGCCTGGGGAGGGCCTCTGCACAGGTTGCTAACATGTGGTACGGGAGGGACGCGTTTAACACAAATACAAACTCAGAGCCACTGGTCGTCACAAACTTCAGTTCACGAATCACTCTAGAAGCTGTGAAATCAGGAGTAAACCTAAAACAGAGGATGGCAGTGAGGCTGAGTTAAAAAACAACAGAGCACAGCAGTTCAAGCTGACAACAGTCCCATGAACCCTAAAGGCTCAGCACAGAATCTAAGGGTGGTACTTAGGAGGTTAACAACAGGAACAATTGCATTCTGTGGATAATTTTGAGGAATTATGTAAAAAAAGAACAATAACCATCTTCTCAGACATTAATTCAGGAAGTGTGTCTGAGCTTCTTTGCCTTTCCTCTTCTTTATCTAAGCTGCATTCTCAATAATGGCTTGAACAAAACAAAAACCCACCCTAGAACTAGAGACTATTCCTCATTGCCTGCAGCTCAGTTTGCTGTCACAATCATCTTATTTTTTGTTACCTGAGTGCACCTTGAGGATAGGCGTTTCATTACCTCATTGTACTTTTAGGTCAAGAATTAAGCCTCACATGTAGTAATTTAGCCACTTATTAAGTAAGCATCACAGAAGGGCTTGAAATTATTATTCAATTAAGGGGACAGAGTTTATAACAAGTTAGCTATCAATGAATTGTTAAATATGCTGCAAAGCTGGGCACGGTGGTACATGCCTGTAATCCCAGCAGCTTGAGAGGCTGAGGCAGGAGGATCCTGAGTTCAAAGCCAGCCTCAGCAACCCCAAGCAACTTTGCAAGACCCTGTTTCAAAATATAACTTAAAAAGAGCTGGGGATGTGGTTGAGCACCTCTGGGTTCAATTCCCGGTACCAAAAACAAAAACAAAAACAACAACAACAACAAAAACTACAACTCTTACTGATTAGGCATTACAATGGTCTTCTAAATTAAGTATTGCCCATTCTTAGTCTGCAAGTTAAAACTATACACGTATGGTCCAAGTCTCTGTTCTGTGGCTGGGACACTGAACTCATCCCAGCATCTTATGCTAAATAATTCTGAAGTTGGTTTCTAAGATTATCTGATCCACCTGGGATACAGAGGAAGTTTTACTACTTTGAAAACAAAGATATAAAGAAATACCTTAGCTGAAGATTAAGTAAAAAAAAATATCAAATGAATAATTGTGGATAAAGACCTTTTATTATCTATAAATATAAAAATATCTTTCTTTGTAGTATCTGACTCTAGTATAAAAAGACAGAAGTTAGTGATTCATTATACTGCACCTTATAAGAAAACACTTACAATATGATTAGGTCCTTTGAGGCATTGGCACTTAGTGCAAACTCTTGACAATTAACAACTTTAAAGCCATATCCTTCACATGAGTATCCACTGATTTCAATGGTTTCTACGTGGACTTGAAGTTGTCCTGTATTCTCTACTTTAAATGTTCTTTTCAATGTGAAATTTGGTTCTCTTAGTTTTAAACCTAAAGGAAAAAAATCAGAAGTGAAGATAAATGTTGCTATCACAGGCTCCCAGTGCAAAGGATAAGCATATTCTTCATGAACTACAACTGTATCCCACACGCCAAGGAGACCAGCCAGTGCCCAGATCTCGTCGGGAAGCACTCCACTTTTATATGTTATTTTAGATGGCAAAAGTTTTATTATACTTTACTTTTTACCCTTAAGAGTGAATGATCTAAGGTATGTAATGAGTATTGATACTTTAAGTCTTTTAAGATCCAAATCAACAAGACTGAATGTAAGACGCAGGCCTTCCTCAATGGCTTGAGCACCTTTCACTATACACAGGTGTGCACTGGAGGGTCTGTCCTTACTCCTGGAATTATTTGCTGTTCAAAGTGTGTGCTGCAATCTGTGCCCTCGGCACTGTCAGGAATACTCACTGTCTGTACAATCTTTTAACAATGCTTCTGTGATTTTGAAGCGTAAGGAGCTTCCTGGGCCTGGAAGCTTGCCTGCCACCCTCAAGTTCTCAGTTGTTCCTTGTCCCTGGACCATCACAGCATCCATCACAGTCAGGTTATTTCTAGAAGAGAACAAAAATCACAGATTTTTTTCTCCCACTAAATCTGCACAATCTTTTGATCAATAATTTCTATAGTTATGTTGTAACCCATGACATACAAATTTATACACTGAATTTTAAGGGTGTAAAATTTTTTTTTTTTTTAAAGAGAGAGAGAGAGAGAGAGAGAATTTTTTTTTTTTTTAATATTTATTTTTCAGTTCTTGGTGGACACAACATCTTTGTTTGTATGTGGTGCTGAGGATGGAACCCGGGCCGCACGCACACCAGGCGAGTGTGCTACCGCTTGAGCCACATCCCCAGCCTAAGGGTGTAAAATTTTAAATACATAGAGAAAAGCAAAAGTTTGTTATTCTTAAGAGTCACACATGATACTTCAGTAACATACTACTCACATTTTTGAAGAATAAACATAAGGACTTTGATGTAAATACTAAAAAATCAATCCATACCCAGACCACAGAACCTACCTCACTATGATTAGTGAAGAAACAGTTCTGTTGTGAATTGGAGTAAATTTTACTTTGACAGATTTCTTTTCTCCAGGTTTTAAAATTAGGTTTAAAATTAAATGTCGAGAGAGGCCCTCGGTAAATCCCGTTGAACTCTGCAGTGGATGAGCCTTGAATCAGTGGGTAAACAAATAGGAGTCATTAAGATATTTTCTGGAAAATGTTTTCCCTTACCCCATCTAGAGCCCAGTAGTTCTTCAAACTGATTAAACATGCAAATGGCTGTGCCCTTCACGATTTAGGCACTGGTCAGCTGCACTCAGGGGATGAGGAGCCAGTGACGGCCTTCACATTCTGTGTAAACCCCAAAATGGGCTTTGCTCCCAGGCCACCTGAGTCCTCATGTTTGTGTGAGGCATTTATTCTCGCATATAGATATTTTTAATCTTAAATACAACACATCGCAGGAAAGGACACAGAACTAAGATGAATAGCTGGATGCGTCAGCACAAAGCAAACAAGCACAATGACGATTGGTACCCCAGGCCCTCGCAGTGCTGCCCCGGTCACTGCCGTCACTCCTTCCTTTGATGGGAACCAACTGCAGAGGCTTCAGGTTGCAGCAAATGTTTTATTTGCAACCATATTTCCAATTCGTATCAATCTTTCCTTGAATTTTATTTTGAAAACTAGGCACATAGTTGCTACTTTATAAACACTTGATTTGAAGCTTTTTAAAAGTGTAGCTTAATTTAGTATCTAAAATATTACGCTTTGATGGCCAGTAATAAATAGTTAAAAACCATTTTTTTAAAAAATTAAAGAACCCATACTTCACACATAAAGATACATTTCTGATTTTTAAGATCAAGTTTACAACTTCTAAGAGAAGGGCTGGCAACACTTGGCTATAGCTGAGTCATATCCCCAGCCCTTTTTAAAAAATTTTGACTGGGTCTCATCAAGTTGTGTAGGGCCTTGCTAGGTTGCTGAGGCTGGCCTCGAACTTGTGAGGCGCCTGCCTCAGCCTCACAAACTGCTGGGATTACAGGCATGCGCCACTGTGCCAGGATCAGGTATATTTTTATCATACCCTTCAACAAAACCATGCATCATGACACTGAATGAAGCAAATATGAGAATCTACTTGTTTGTTAAATCAGAGAGCCATTACTGAGATTTGCAAAATGTTAAACAACCCCTTCTTGCAAACTAAATTTTTAAAAATAATGTTAACATTGACAACATTTTCATGTTATCTATGTTAAATGGAATAGGTTTGTTATTTTAAATGAATGAAATCAATCTTCCAAAGATTTCCCAGTTTTAATTTCTAATATGGTAAAATATTAAAATATGTAATTCATAAAAAAGAAACCTCTCTAGGCTCTTTAATAATTTTAGGACTATAAGGGAGTTGCAAGACCAAATATTTTGAGAACACAATTCCACAGCAGTGTAAAAAACTGGGATAGAATTTATCCTAAGCTCTTCTCAGGATCTCCCCTAGAATTTCCTTAAAACAAATTTTTGAGGTCTATAGAATATTCATTTGTTTTTCCAAATACTACTTGTATGCATTTTTTTTAAAAAAGATGAATATTAGCTCATTTATTTCTTATTGTGTATTTTCTCCTTTTAAAAGCAGAGGAAACAAAGTTCTGGTTATTCTTCTTGATAACCTCCAATAATAGTTGGTCACATTGACATTTTACGGGTGAGAAAAGCAAAGTACAAAAAGATTCCAAGACAAAGGTTCAAAACTAGAATACATGACTGTCTGAACATCAGTATAGGGGTTCAGCCATTAAAAGGTGAAGCTATGGGAAAGACCACAATATTTCAAGAACTACAAGATATCTGATTTGACAAAGCTAATGAGCAATTCCTAATCCGCAGTTGTCAGGAATGATGATGGTAAGGACAAAGGTTCTGGAGGCCAAGAGGTGGCCGCCACTCTGCAGGAGCTGTGGCCCCCAGTGCTGCCTTCCTCCACAGCAAGGCCTTCCAAAGGATGGTTCGTGGGCATACAATCTGGATGAGAAAAAACAGCCTGGTTCCTAGAACAAGCCGGTTTATGTGTGGGCTTATTTATTCAAGACGACCTACTGAGCAAAAGCCGTGGATAACAGGGCCAAGCACAGATACAGCCAGCCACAGGTTGTGAATTCAGGGAGCTTGCAATCTTATTAGAAAGCAGCCAGAAGAAAATATAAATGACCAAGCTCAATAGTTTGACGCTTAATCAAAATAAATTATGCTTCATCTGTATATGTAGTCTTAGAACTTCTGGTAGCTACTATGACAAACCTCAGGGGTTTGTTGTTTAATGCTCACGAAAAGGAACCTTCTGCTCAGTGTAGGCCTTACCTTCATCTAAATCCCACCCACTCTTCCCAGTTTCTCTGCCTTTAACATAATCTTCGGGCTGTTCTGACCTCTTCAGTAACTCCCCTTCAGCTACACTGGAAGGTAGCCACAGGTTTCTTTCACATTTGCACTGTTGACACTACGCCATAGCAGGCCTCTGGATACTTACAGTGTTTCTGTAGACTTGAAATTCTAGTGTTCTCAAATCTATCTTTGCTGTCTTACTCAAGTTAAACCTGAAATAAAAAAAATGTATAAAGACATCTTCATAAACAGCTTCATTAAGGGGGATTGTGGAATACTGATCAAGTCTGTGTTTTATTTGCTAATTATCTTTCAGTAGGTTTGGGGATAAAGTTTACACTTGAGCCCAAAATGTTAAAGGCCGCATCTTGTAATTAATATCTTGTTCACTTTTTACAATAAAAATGTTTCAAAGGTTCTAGCTGCTTTCTCTTCACAAATTTGTCAGAAGGGAAGATACACACTGCCTGAGACTGAAAGCTTTTCTAGATGCTTAATGCAATATCAACTCCTCTCCCCAGAACCCTCTCTCAACTTTACAGATCTAGAATCTAAGTTAAACCTATTACTAGCAGTATGAGCTACAATACAGTTTTAATTAATTTGAATAAAGACGCAATAAAGTTTTAGTTAATTTCTATATAATACCATGTAGAAACATTTGATATTTAAAGCAATGCTTACCTTGAGACTAATTTATCTACAAAGACTGAAGGGTTGGAATATAAAGCCAGAGGAATAACCTGAACATAGACAGGAACATCTGCAGGATTTTCCAAAGTAATCTCTTCTTCCTTAAACAAAGCAATGAAACATTAGATGAAAGGTTTCTACATCAAGAATAAAATTATATTATTAGTTCTTATAGCAGTGATGAGCTTACTGCCTTCTCGTGGTGAGTAGGTCACTATTGGTGGCAGAGCCCAGGGCCTGGCACCCTCTACCCTGCATCCACAATCTTCTCACCACACACTCCTCTGAACTGCTAAACTTTGCAATATCCATTCCAGAAATACACAACTGGGTTTTCAGGTTAAGAGTGACTACTTTACAATGCTAGTGCACATTTATAAAACTCAAAGTCATCTGGAATACTTACTGAAGAGCAGTTTGTATTGGTGAGCGGGAACTTCAAGTGCCGGGGGGAGCTAAGTATGGAAGGCCAGGAGAGCTCGGCAGTGATTTTTGATATTATATTTTTTTGAAGGTCTGTATTTACTTCAAATATAGCACTCAATCTAGAAAAACAATTCGTAATCACTGTATCACAATGAAATATGTGAGTTTTCTGAACATAAGAAACTCTACAAGACTTGTGTACTTGAGAAAATTTGTTCTGGATGACCCCAAAATATATTTGCTCTTATATTTTAGCAAGTTTTTTGTTTGTTTGTTTTTGGAGGGGTGGGATACTGGGGATTGAACTCAGGCAGGGACAGTCAACTACTGAGCCACATCTTCAGCCCTATTCTGTATTTTATTTAGAGACAGGGTCTCACCGAGTTGCTTAGAACCTTACTTTTGCTGAGGCTGGCTTTGAACTCATGATCCTCCTGCCTCAGCCTCCTGAGCTGCTGGGATTAAAGGCATGCGCTACCACGCTGGCTTACCAAGTTTTTAATGCCACAGAATGATGTCTGTTTTGACATACAACGATCATCTGTACTTTACACTGAGTGTGTAAAGGTTGACAAATCTTAGGAACAGTTCTAATAGTGTTAGTGCAATCTGTGTAAAGCTTGAAAAATCTTTTTTACTTATAAATTCAGTAAAAAGCTGGACAGCATTAGAGAACATATAGAGAAGACAAGCACATAAAGGTAGTATATGACGTGATGGGACCCTAAAGGATCTATGCCTGGGGGAAAGATCTGGACACCATAGCTGGGTGCTAGGAATATCTTCAGCAGAACTAACGAGACAGCAGTGCATTGCTTGGCATGGGATTCTTTTGGCCCTTGAGATAAACCCAAACAAAATCCTCACGTGTAATGAAGATGTTAGTCGAGGAAAAATGTGAGGGTTCTGAGTAACGTTCAGACCCTCATTTGAATAATTCCCTACTTATGAGTGTTTATAAGCCAGCTGTCCAGAACTCAGAACTAATTATAACTGGGGTTACAACCCTGGGACCAAATACTGGAGCTCATTTAAATCCAACGCTATCAAACTGGTATCGTTGGACACTGCTAAGAGTATAGGCTTCATGAGAACACTAGAAGACATTCTCTAACACACACAGTGATGAGGTAACACAAAGGCAGGAGCAGGGAGCACATGGCAGGCAAGGCCAGCATTTGCTGGTGACGTGGAGAGGTCCCTGGGGCTGCTGAGCCCAGGCCAGCACTGTGAGTCATTCATTCATAACTGGTGTTGAGATCTGAAGCCCTGGGCACTTCACAAGCCTGTGGAGAAACAGGCTACAAAGGACAGCTTTGGTGAGCTCCTTGCCAATCTATCAGAAGTCTCCTTTACTCATTTTAACTATTTTCAAGTAAAAAATTTAGCTTTCTTTTTTTTTATATATTTATTTTTTAGTTGTAGTTGGACACATTACCTTTATTTTATTTATTTTTATGTGGTGCTGAGGATCGAACCCAGGCCTTGCACATGCTAGGTGAGCCCCTACTGCTGATGCACAACCCCAGCCCTAGCTTTCTTTTGACTTAAAAAAGCTTTTTGCAGCAGATAGTTTAGAAAAACAAACCCTCAGATTCAACTGGTAATGGTTTGAGAACTTTATATTACTCTTAAGTTGAAATATCTATGTTCTGACAAATATATTTCAAATTAGCCAATTAAGAAGAGCACTTTTCATTATTTTATTATTATAGACAAATGCTTTTCTCAAGTATATGAAAAGATCTGATTTCTATAGTACCAAATAATTATATCTTTGCTTTTGAATTCAGATGCTGTACTAATTTGCCATTAGCATATTTAAAATTTTTTTTTTCTTTTTTGTAGAACTGGGGATTGAATTCAGTGGTGCTCTACTATTGAGCTATACCCCCGGTTCTATTTATTTATTTTTTTAAATTTTGAGACAAGATCTGTTTTGCAAGGCTGGTCTGTAACTTTTCATCCTCTCACTTCAGCCTCCCAAGTCTCTGGGATTATAGATGTGTGCCACCTTGCCTGGCTGTCATGTGCATATTTTCTACCTGCCAAAGACACAATGGGGAGCCATCTGACTTGGGCCCTCCCCAACAGCCCAGCACTTTGAAAGGAATAAAATACACACTGGATCTCAAGGAATAAAATCCATACTGGGTCTCCTGCCCTGGGAATAAAGGTAGGGGTTTTTCTTTGTCTTTCACAGGCCAGTGGCAGGTAAAAACTTTTTCTTCTTATGCAAATGACTGTGTCTAAGGAGAACAAGGCAGTCTGCCTCATAATGACAATTTCAGATTTTTTTTTTTTTTTTTTTTTTTTTTTTTTTAATTTTAAGAAAGCTCCACACTGTACTGCCTGTCTACTTCCCTGGAAAGGCTTCCATGTGCCAAACACAAGGATGGACTTTGAAAGAGGGAGGCATTGATTAAAAAGAGTCTGTTTGGGGGATAAAGGCAGCAGAGGAACAGCAAGGAACTCAGTAAGCAGAGGAGAAAGGAGAAATAAGGTAGTGTGTACATTTCTGAGCAATGGTAATTTAAGATGTCTCACTAACAACCTTATGAAGATCAGGCATATTTTCTTAGCTATAAAGTAAAGTAACCTCATAGAAAAATGCAGTGGCATTTACAGCTGAGATGCTGTATACCTGTGGCAACCCCACTCACCTGTGGCCTGAACTTTCCTTTATTCCCATCCAGGCTTTGAATAGAATCTGGTGGGAATCCCAGTCGGCCTCCCACGCATCCTCCTGCATGGCCACCCCGGGCTGCACCTTGGGTTCAGCTACAAGGGAAACAGGTGATGAGGACTTGCTCCACACTGCACGGCCTGTCCACTTCCCTGGAAAGGCTTCCATGTGCCAAACACAGGGGTGGACTTTGAAAGAGGGAGGCTTTGATTAAAAGAGTCTGTTTGGGGGATGAAGGTAGCAGAGGAAGAGCAAGGAACTTACATTTGGATAGAAAAGGCAAGCCAACGTAGCAATGGTCCCCACACTGCAGTCCCGGATCAAAATAAATGTTTGCAATCTACAAAGAGGCATATGAGAACCATGAGTCCCCAACCCATGGAGAGGCACAATATCAAAACAGTCACGGGGGAGGAGGGAAGATGGCGGCGAGGGGAGTGCATTACCCCCGTGTGCTGCTTCACTGTGTGGGAGTATGACAAGTCAGGACGGCTAAAGGATATCTTGTTAGGAATTTCCAGCAATAGTGGGGTGCGCCGGAACCTGGAGGAAGGATTTCCATCGCATGAGGATCGGCTACGGGGACTCAAACGCGAGAGGTTTGTCGCATGGAGGGTAACACTGCTTATTAAGCAAATCGCCCCGCGGCTAGAGTCTGCAAGGCGCGCTGGGATAGAGACGCAGGGTTACAGCGCTGCAGTTTCTGCCAGACGCGCAAGCACCGCACTCAGGGCTGAATTCTGGGTTCGAGACGGGGAAGGAAGCGGTCCATCTCGGTTCTCCACACCGGTCAGACCACAGAGGAGGCCAGCAGCCACCATGTTGGTAAACTGACGTCACCACACCTGTTTTTGACTGACCGCAGCTCATTCAGCCATAGAACAGGTAATTTCAGGCTGCAATTCGCCTGCGGCTTGCAGACAGATTGCTAGGGTTCAGCGCCTGGGGGCTTCTTAAAATCTGATCTTATCGGAGTGAACACGGAGCGCGGGGCGGCCGAGTTCCGGCTCCCGGAACCGTCCCGGAACCGCCCTGGCTCCGGGCTGCGGAGCCTGCGGAGGCTGCTTCTTGGACCCTGCTAATATCAGAGCAAACACGAAACACCAAGAAGCCGAATTCCAGCTCCCGGAACTGAGCCCGCGGGGACTGCTTCTTGGAGCTTACACTTATAGGAGCTTACACTGAGCACAGAGCGGCCGAGTTCCGGCTCCCGGAACCGTCCCGGAACCGCCCGGGCTCAGGGCTGCGGAGCCCGCGGAGGCTGCTTCTTGGACCCTGCTACTATCAGAGCATACACCAAGCACTAAGCGGCCGAATTCCGGCTCCCGGAACTGAGCCCGCGGGGGCTGCTTCTTGGAGCCTACACTTATAGGAGCTTACACCGAGCACGGAGAGGCCGAGTTCCGGCTCCCGGAACTTCCCTGGACCGGGGCTAGGAGCCCGCGGAAACTGTGTCTCGGTCCGGGTCCTGCTGAGGGCAGGTCAGGACTCACCCATTGCTTGGGTTGCCTGGCAAGGGGAACGAAATGCTGCCATTCGCATAGGATACCAACATGGCAGAGATCTGATGTCAGCAGAAAGCGGTGGAGGAGAGATCTTCATCAATACCAGCGGTGACATAAGCAGTTGGTCTCCTGGTAAGGGGGGTGAGGCTCAGTCACCCGAGTCTCCTCAATTTGTCCTCGAGCCAGAGGGAAGGAGCCGGGCCGCCGCCAGCCCCCGGAGCAGGCCCAGCGGCTCACCAGCGTGGTGACCGCGTGACCCCAATTGGAGAGGGGGCGGAGCGGAGCCGCCACCCACACCCGCCAGGTGGGCAGACCCACGACCCAGTAGTACATGGGCGTGGTAGGAGGGGCAGGGCAGAGCCGCCCTTCGCGCTTGCAAGGTAAACAGACCTGTGACAGCCTGGCGGGTCAGGCCCAGTGGCCTGCCAGTGTGGTACACACGTCACCCCAACTCGAGTAGGGGCAGAGCAGATCCTTATCCCACGCCCGGATCAGGCCCTGCCGGTGTGGTGGTCACGTGACCCCAATTGGAGTGGGGGTGGAGCGGAACCGCCACCCGTGCCCGCAGGGTGAGCAGACCAGTGATCAACCTGCAGATCAGGCCCAGGGGTCCGCAGGCGTGGTAGGAGGGGCAGGGCAGATCCGCCGCCCGCGCCTTCAAGGTAGGCAGACCTACAACAGACCGGCGGATCAGGCCCAGGAGCCTGCCGGCGGGGTACAAACACCACCCTAATTGGAGTAGTGACAGAGCAGAGTCGCCTCCCTTGCCAGGAACAGACCCAGCATCCTGCAGGCGGGGTAGTCACGACACCCCAATTGGAGTAGGGCAAAGCAGAGCCTCCACCCGTGCCCGAAAGGTGGGCAGATCTGCGACCGACCAGCAGGACAGGCCCAGTGGCCTGCTGGTACGACAGACACGTCACCCCAATTGGAGTAGGGGCAGAACAGAGCCGCCACCAGCTCCCAGAACAGGCCCAGTGACCTGCCGGCGTGGTAGCCACGACACCCCAATTGGAATAAGGAGAGAGCAGAGCCGCCGCCCGCACCTGCAGGAAAGATACGCAAGCAGTATGAAAAGACAAGGAAAGAAAGGACCACAAGCAATGCAGGTCAACGCAACTTTAGAAGAGGTAACAGCTGCAGCAGATGGAATGTCAGATAAAGAATTCAGGATATACATGCTTCAGATGATCTGGAGTATCAAGGAAGACATTAAACAGCAAAATCAGACAATGAAAGATCACTTCGACAACGAATTACGCAAACAAATCCAGGAAGCAAAGGATCAACTATACAGGGAGATAGAGGTTATAAAAAACAAGCAATCAGAAATCCTAGAAATGCAGGAAGCAATAAACCAACTTAAAAACTCAATGGAGAATACTACCAACAGAGTAGAACACTTAGAAGATAGAACATCAGACAATGAAGACAAAGTATTTCAACTGGAAAAGAACATAGACAGCTCAGCAAGACTGTTAAGAAACCATGAGCAGAACATCCAAGAAATATGGGATAACATTAAGAGACCAAACTTAAGAGTCATTGGGATACAGGAAGGTACAGAGCTCCAAACCAAAGGAATGAGCAGTCTATTCAATGAAATAATACAAGAAAACTTCCCAGACTTGAAGAATGAGACAGAATCCCAAATCCTAGAAGCCTACAGGACGCCGAATGTGCAAAATCATAAGAGATCCACACCTAGACACATTATAATGAAGATGCCCAACATACAGAATAAGGAGAGAATTTTAAAAGCTACAAGAGAAAGGAAGCAGATTACATTTAGGGGCAAGCCAATCAGGATAACAGCTGATCTTTCAACACAGACTCTGAAAGCTAGAAGATCCTGGAATAACATATTTCAAACACTGAAAGATAATGGGTTCCAACCAAGAATTGTGTATCCAGCGAAATTAAGCTTCAGGATGGAGAATGAAATTAAAACCTTCCACGATAAACAAAAGTTTAAAGAATTCGCAGCTAGAAAACCATCTCTTCAAAACATCCTAGCCAAAGTATTACAGGAAGAGGAAATGGAAAATAACAATGAAAACCAACAGTGGGAGGTAGGACAGTAAAGGGGGGGGGGAACAATCAAAGAGGAAAACAAACAATGTTTAGTAACAGAAATAAACAAATATGGCTGGAACAACAACCCATATCTCAATAATAACCCTAAATGTTAATGGCTTAAACTCACCAATTAAGAGACACAGGCTAGTAGAATGGATCACAAAACAAGACCCAACAATATGCTGCCTACAGGAGACGCATTTGATAGGAAAAGACATACATAGGCTGAAGGTGAAAGGTTGGGAAAAATCATATCACTCATATGGACTTCGGAAACAAGCAGGCGTGTCCATACTCATATCAAATAAAATAGATTTCAAGCCAAAGTTAATCAAAAGAGATAAAGAGGGACACTACATACTGCTTAAGGGAACCATACACCAACAAGACATAACAATCATAAATATTTATGCCCCAAACAATGGTGCAGCTATGTTCGTCAAACAAACTCTTCTCAAGTTCAAGAGTCTAATAGACCACCACACCATAATCATGGGAGACTTCAACACACCTCTCTCGCCACTGGACAGATCTTCCAAACAAAAGTTGAATAAGGAAACTATAGAACTCAATAACACTATTAATAACCTAGACCTAATTGACATATATAGAGTATACCACCCAACATCAAGCAGTTACACTTTTTTCTCAGCAGCACATGGATCCTTCTCAAAAATAGATCATATATTATGTCACAGGGCAACTCTTAGACAATATAAAGGAGTAGAGATATTACCATGCATCTTATCTGATCATAATGGAATGAAACTGAAAATCAACGATAAAAGAAGGAAGGAAAAAGCATACATCAATTGGAGAATGAACAATAGGTTACTGAATGATCAATGGGTTATAGAAGACATCAAGGAGGAAATTAAAAAATTCTTAGAGATAAATGAAAACACAGACACAACATATCGGAATCTATGGGACACATTGAAAGCAGTTCTAAGAGGAAAATTCATTGCTTGGAGTTCATTCCTTAAAAAAAGAAAAAACCAACAAATAAATGATCTCATACTTCATCTCAAAATCCTTGAAAAAGAAGAGCAAAACAACAGCAAAAGAAGTAGAAGGCAAGAAATAATTAAAATCAGAGCTGAAATTAATGAAATCGAAACAAAAGAAACAATTGAAAAAATTGACAAAACTAAAAGTTGGTTCTTTGAAAAAATAAACAAAATCGACAGACCCTTAGCGATGCTAGTGAAGAGAAGAAGAGAGAGAACTCAAATTACTAGCATACGGGATGAAAAAGGCAATATCACAACAGACACTTCAGAAATACAGAAGATAATCAAAAACTATTTTGAATCCTTATACTCCAATAAATTAGAAGATAGTGAAGGCATAGATAAATTTCTTAAGTCATATGATCTGCCCAGATTGAGTCAGGAGGATATAGAAAACCTAAACAGACCAATATCAATTGAGGAGATAGAAGAAACCATCAAAAGACTACCAACTAAGAAAAGCCCAGGTCCCGATGGGTATACAGCGGAATTTTACAAAACCTTTAAAGAAGAACTAATACCAATACTTTTCAAGCTACTTCAGGAAATAGAAAAGGAGGGAGAACTTCCAAATTCATTCTATGAGGCCAACATCACCCTGATACCTAAACCAGACAAAGACACTTCAAAGAAAGAAAACTACAGACCAATATCTCTAATGAACCTAGATGCAAAAATCCTCAATAAAATTCTGGCGAATCGGATACAAAAACATATCAAAAAAATTGTACACCATGATCAAGTAGGATTCATCCCTGGGATGCAAGGCTGGTTCAATATACGGAAATCAATAAATGTTATTCACCACATCAATAGACTTAAAAATAAGAACCATATGATCATCTCGATAGATGCGGAAAAAGCATTTGACAAAGTACAGCATCCCTTTATGTTCAAAACTCTAGAAAAACTAGGGATAACAGGAACATACCTCAATATTGTAAAAGCAATCTATGCTAAGCCTCAGGCTAGCATTATTCTGAATGGAGAAAAACTGAAGGCATTCCCTCTAAAATCTGGAACAAGACAGGGATGCCCTCTCTCTCCACTTCTCTTCAACATAGTTCTCGAAACACTGGCCAGAGCAATTAGACAGACGAAAGAAATTAAAGGCATAAAAATAGGAAAAGAAGAAATTAAATTATCACTATTTGCAGATGATATGATTCTATATCTAGCAGACCCAAAAGGCTCTACAAAGAAACTATTAGAGCTAATAAATGAATTCAGCAAAGTGGCAGGATTTAAAATCAACACGCATAAATCAAAGGCATTCCTGTATATCAGCGACAAATCCTCTGAAATGGAAATGAGGACAACCACTCCATTCAAAATATCTTCAAAAAAAATAAAATACTTGGGAATCAACCTAACAAAAGAGGTGAAAGACTTATACAATGAAAACTACAGAACCCTAAAGAGAGAAATAGAAGAAGATCTTAGAAGATGGAAAAATATACCCTGTTCATGGATAGGCAGAACTAACATCATCAAAATGGCGATATTACCAAAAGTTCTCTATAGGTTTAATGCAATGCCAATCAAAATCCCAATGGCATTTCTTGTAGAAATAGAGAAAGCAATCATGAAATTCATATGGAAAAATAAAAGACCCAGAATAGCAAAAACAATGCTAAGCAAGAAGTGTGAATCAGGCGGTATAGCGATACCAGACTTCAAACTATACTACAGAGCAATAGTAACAAAAACAGCATGGTACTGGTACCAAAACAGGCGGGTGGACCAATGGTACAGAATAGAGGACACAGAAACCAATCCACAAAACTACAACTATCTTATATTTGATAAAGGGGCTAAAAGCATGCAATGGAGGAAGGATAGCATCTTCAACAAATGGTGCTGGGAAAACTGGAAATCCATATGCAACAAAATGAAACTGAATCCCTTTCTCTCGCCATGCACAAAAGTGAATTCAAAATGGATCAAGGAACTTGATATCAAATCAGAGACGCGCCGTCTGATAGAAGAAAAAGTTGGCTACGATCTACAGTCGGTGGGGTCGGGCTCCAAATTCCTCAATAGGACACCCATAGCACAAAAGTTAATAACTAGAATCAACAAATGGGACTTACTCAAACTAAGAAGTTTTTTCTCAGCAAAAGAAACAATAAGAGAGGTAAATAGGGAGCCTACATCCTGGGAACAAATCTTTACTCCTCACACTTCAGATAGAGCCCTAATATCCAGAGTATACAAAGAACTCAAAAAATTAGACAATAAGAGAACAAACAACCCAATCAACAAATGGGCCAAGGACCTGAACAGACACTTCACAGAGGAGGACATACAGTCAATCAACAAGTACATGAAAAAATGCTCAACATCTCTAGCTGTCAGAGAAATGCAAATCAAAACCACCCTAAGATACCATCTCACTCCAGTAAGATTGGCAGCCATTAGGAAGTCAAACAACAACAAGTGCTGGCGAGGATGTGGGGAAAAGGGTACACTTGTACATTGCTGGTGGGACTGCAGATTGGTGCAGCCAATTTGGAAAGCAGTATGGAGATTTCTTGGAAAGCTGGGAATGGAGCCACCATTTGACCCAGCTATTCCCCTTCTTGGTCTATTCCCTAAAGACCTAAAAAGAGCATGCTACAGGGACACTGCTACATCGATGTTCATAGCAGCACAGTTCACAATAGCAAGACTGTGGAACCAACCTAGATGCCCTTCAATAGACGAATGGATAAAAAAAGTGTGGCATTTATACACAATGGAGTATTACTCTGCATTAAAAAATGACAAAATCATAGAATTTACAGGGAAATGGATGGCATTGGAGCAGATTATGCTAAGTGAAGCTAGCCAATCCCTAAAAAACAAATGCCAAATGTCTTCTTTGATATAAGGAAAGTAACTAAGAACAGAGTAGGGACGAAGAACAGGAGAAGAAGATTAACATTTAACAGGGATGAGAGGTGGGAGGGAAAGGGAGAGAGAAGGTAAATTGCACGGTAATGGAAGGAGACCCTCAGGGTTATACAGTGGAGGGGGTAGAGAGAGAGGAGGGGAGGGGAGGGGAGAGGTGGGGAGGGGGGAGGGTGGATGATGGGAAAGGCAGCGGAGCACAACAGACACTAGTATGGCAATTTGTAAATCAATGGATGTGTAACTGATGTGAATCTGCAATCTGTGTATGGGGTGAAGGTGGGAGTTCATAACCCACTAGAATCAAAGTGTGGAATATGATATGTCAAGAAATTTGTAATGTTTTGAACAACCCACAATAAAAAATTAAAAAAAAAAAAAAAAAAAAAAAAACAACAGTCACGGGGGTAATTCTCAAATGTAATGTTTCCAAACCTTTGACTTTTTCCCTGGCTCCAAGTCTTCTCTGTTACCCCGTAATCGTTTGTAGTAAAATCGCACATCTTCTGACAAAGATCGTATTTGTTGTATCTTTACCTTCTGTGAGAAGGAATTCATAATATTTAAACTTTGATGTACTATTTTCCCCTGCAGGAAGAAAAAAAAGAAAACCCAAACTCAGTTGTGTATGGTGTGCTTTTCCAAGATCACACACTTTAGAGCTGACAAGCATATTCCCAGGAAATCATAGCCCAAAAGACATTCATCAGTTGATAATTTCTAAATTTGTAATTGAGAGGAAAACAAAAACAAACGCCCCACCAAAACCCCCCAAACCTTTGTTTCTGTTTTTACAGCATTTTACCAATACACTTCAGACGAGGAGTCTGTAGAAGGAATTAACATATTCAAGACGCAGCTGACATACTGAGACAGCCAACCAGGTACAAACGAGGTAGCTTTAAGGGACAGGCACTCTCAGTTTGTTAAGCAAGGTTTGTTTCTATCAAGGCAGGGCTGCCCCAAAATAACTGAATTCTAAAACATAAAATCAAACAAGACAAAAACACAGTTTTTTCTTAAAAGACTGTCTTAAAAAAAAAAAAGCATTACTTGAACTATAAGATAAATCAGGTTATCTTATAAAATAGGTTATGATGTATCTTATCAAAGCAGCACACAGATTAAATTACTAAAAAAAAATCAATGACTATGCTTACTAGCTGCAAGTTTCTTGTTATGATTTTGTGCCAAATTTTAAATGAAAAATGATTTAAATAATCCTCAATAAGAATATTACAATCTTACACTTTCTTTTGGTGAACACAGAATTTTATTTTTTGGTGCATGTGACTCCTATCCATTTAAGGAAGTCTCCAAAATGACAAATGCACTTTTTAAACATTTAGTATTAAAAGGCTACAGAAGTTAAGAATGTGCCGGTGAAGAGTTGGGTGAAGGTGACGCTGGGACCAATACTCCTCATTTCCAGGCTAGTGAGAAAACACCAGAAGGACCCCAGAGGGCAGGGTCTGTGGGCTGAGGTGGGAAGAACCTTAGTCCCTGGTGATAATTGCCCTCCTCGTCTCTCAGGGGTGCAGTGGGCATCCAAACAGGTAACAGACAAAAATTTCCCTTGGTAATTCTACCCAAACATAAAGTATTAAGCACTAATTTTCTGAAACGTTTTTTTATTCAGGTATTGTTTCCATCCTTCCTCTGACAAAGAGATTGAAAGAATCTGGTGATATGTTAATTTGTAATTGCAAGCAAATATTTGGTCCTGAGACCATCTAAAGACTTTTGAGAGCTTGAGCTGAACAGCCCTAAACTGATGCCTTATTTTATACAGATACTTCCTCTTTACTCCCCTGCGGGCCTTTTCATGATCTCCCTTAAACTAATTATCCTCTTCTGGGATTTTAATTTTTTTTTTTTTTTTTACTTTTTTGTGGTGCTAGGGTCTCATGTATGCCAGGCAAAGTACTCTGCCACTGAACCACCTTAGTCTCCTGGGATTTACACAAAGATTAAGGAGATGACTGACTGAGAAGGTAATTGAAGGAGAGAACAAGGTACTTTTGGATAAATAATAATTAAGTCAAGAATTCAACATATAGTCAGTACAAAGTGGGATCACAGGAAGGTGAAATTTTAATTAAGACCCAAACTGAAATGTGTTAATTCAACATTTATATTTTTAAGGAGCTAAATTTTGAATTTAGGTTTCATTGTATATAGTTCTGAGATTCTGCGATATCTTCTGCGTCTCCTATCATAGGAAAGAGCCACTTCTACCCTTGCCCTGATGTCCTGAATTGACTGTGCCATCTTCTGTATTTCCTTTTCTCTTCTCCCTGTTCTCCAGGTTCACTTTAAGTTAAGAGCTCTGACTCCTCCAGTGGCCCCGCCCCGCCCCGCCCTGTCTGTGTGACTGCACCAGGACAGCAGGCACAGCTCGGCCAGCTGGCCTGAAGCGCCTCTCGCTCCTCTGGCCCCTGTTCCCTCTCCACCACTCTGTTCCTTCATCCATGCAGTATCTACCTTAACTAGCGCCTGTCTTGGGGAACACAGACCCCCATTCCTTTCCTAGAGGTGTCAGTCTCACTTTGAAGGACCAACTGGTAATGAAATATTTACTGCACAATATGAGGACTCCTACGAGAGAGAATTCCAAAATATTCTAGGATCACATGTAGAACAACTAACGTTATCTAGAGGGGTCAAACAAATCTTCAAGAGTCTTTGGAATCCTGAACCTACAAACCTGTAAATAAACATAAAACATTATGATCACAATTAACAAAGTAACTAAACATAATACTGATTCAGTTTAGAAATAGAGGTTTTAGCGTGTAGGTCTCCAATATCCAACTTCATGTGTACAATCACACACATATTCATACAGGCCAGCTTATGTGGATATACAGTTATGCATTTGTACTCATTTGCGATGAAACTTTCAACTCTGTTGGGCTTTGCAATCAGAAGAAATTCTTCCTGGTGAATAAAAACTAGGTGGGCCATACCTTTGTTTTAGCATTAAGAAAACCAAAAACGTTGTTAGAAATGATTTTTTAAATTGATTACACGTGTGGCCAATTTCTTTCTTTTTTAAAATATTTTTTTAGTTGTAGTTGGACACAATACCTTTATTTTGTTTATTTATTTTTATGTGCTGCTAAGGATCAAACCCAGAGCCTCGCATGTGCTAGGCAAGTGCTCTACCACTGAGCCAGCCTCAGCCCCCCAATTTCTTATTAAGCTAAATTGATTAAGTCTGGCAATTATTTGGATGGCGCCTAGTGACATTCTGACCTCATTTTTTCAGCACTGATCTGTAACTGCCTTCCTGAAACAAGAGTGTACCTTTAAAAGCAGAACACTGTCCTATGTTCTTATATGAATGCATGACCGGTGTAACCGCACATCACATACAGCCACAGGAATGGGAAGTTACACTCCATGTACGTATGATACATTGAAATATACTCTACTGTCATGTATAACCAAAAAGAATAAATTTTTTTTTTAAAAAAGTGCACAAATTAAAGTTGAAAGGTCATGGCTTAAAAAGGAGAAAGCCTCTGGAAAGGAGATGGAGACGACAATGGAACCAATTCATGAAGATATGCAGTTGTTTGAAGGGAGAGGAGCGGAAGCAGTCCAGGCAGAGGCAGGAAAAGGCGTCCCTCCTCTGCCTAGCCCTCATTCACTGCACCCCGTTTCCTGTGGACCCAACCAGGCTCTGGGTCAGCCCGAGGCACTCCACAGTAACTTCCACATGCATCCTGCGTTTCCTTCTGCCTCAGAGACAATCTTTAGAGTTCAGCTTTGACCATGTTAAGCCTCTACTCAAAACTCTGGATTACCCTGCACATAAGTGCACCTACTTCTCATGCTGTGGCTCTGACATGTCATTCCATCCTCTCTGTCCATCCTCACTAGGCTGGACAACCCACCACTGCCTGAACCCACCACAGAGTGCACTGCCTCTGCATCTCTGCAAGGCTGGCCTGGCCTGCGCAAGATCTTCCCACCCCGTCCACTCCAGCCGGACGCTCCAAGCCAGTCCCACAGCACTTGGGGATCAGATGTGCACTTCTCTCCCAGCCTCTCCTTACCATCTTTCTCAGGGCAACCTGGGAACGCTGCCGTGCATCCCTGAAGAGAGCCCACTTCCCTTCACAGATTGAACATTTCTTGAAGGAAGGGACCATTTCTTATTCCTTTTCTAAAGAATCTGGTTCATTCTTACCTTATAACAACTATTGAGTCCTAGAAACACAGAGGTAAAGGCTAAGGAAAAAAATTAGCCAGAACAGATATGTAAATTAAGTGTCTTACTGGGAAGGACGGAGGAAGAACCATCTGCTTCGGGAAGCAGGTCAGGGAGCCCACGGCAATCACGGCCTTTACAGGAATTGTGAGGATCTGTGGAGTGAAAAGGCAGAGCACAGTGAGCACATGCAAGTCAAGGCGAGGTGGACAAGGATGGCATTGCTTTGGGGGCAACAACAAAAAAAAACTTCTGGGAACTTATACTGGCGATGATCTGTTCAAAACCAATATTAAAACCCCGGATAATGTTGACTCTATCCAAATGTTCTCCATAAAATATAATAAATGTCCATGTACTACCCAGTAATTCAATGAAAACATAATTTGCAAGACTACACAATGGGGAAGGAATAAAAGTCATATTTTTCAAAACACAAGTATTTTGAAGATTATTAGTTGTAAAAAGGAAGGTCTAATTATACCCCTAAAGTAACATGTATAAAAATCCAGCATGTTTGAGTTATGTGGCTCTCTACTTTTTGTATATACAAACAGATATCAACTGAATGCAGTGGTGTGTGCCTGCAATCCTAGCTACTCAGGAGGAGGGTGGCAAGTTAGATGCCAGCCTGGGCAACTTAGTGAGGCCCTGCCTCAAAATAAAAATTAAAAGGCAGCTCAGTGGTAGGGCACCCAGGGTTCAATCCTCAGTACAAAAAAAAAAAAAAAAAAAAGAGTTGAACATTCTAGGGTTAGAACCCCAATTCATGCTCCATTCAGATCACAAGTGAGTTACTAGGGGAGTGACATAGGAGGCTATTCATTGTGTATTCCCTAGGCTGGTCTCCAACTTGAATCCTCCTGCCTCAGCTACCCATGTGGCTGGAATGTGTTCCCCACAGTGCTGGGCAAGGATATTCACTGTTAATTCTTATTTTCATCCGTATAACAAAAATTTTTCTTAATTCTGAAATGTACTTATTTCTACCATGAATGGCAAGTATGTATTTCTCACTTTCAGAGGTAATTAATTTGAAATATTCCCAGCAAATCACTTATTAAATAGCCGATTCTGTTTATTTTGCAATGAGATTTCTCTCAGGCAGGGGTTGTGTGTGTTAAAAACACATAGAAGGGGCTGGGAATATAGCTCAGTGGTAGAGTGCTTGCCTTGCATGCACAAGGCCCTGGGTTCAGTCCCCAGCATCACAAAAAACAAAAACAAACAAAACACATAGAAGGACCAGGGTAGCAACTGGTTGGATTTAACAGTGTCGTACTAAAGAGCTTCTAAGTGTTACATTAAAACTAAGTGTAGCAGGAATACATTCACTCCAGCCTTCATTGAATGCAACATAAATCCCACAAAGAATCTTATTTAAAAATCCAGTCATCTTTTTGTCTCTTGCCTGAGAAGGACTCCTATACATATTAATGTGAGGAATCAAATGAAGACATATTTCCTGACTTTACCCTCCGTTTTGGGAAGGTCACACAGGAGGACATTTATGCCTGTAGCAGGAAATGGTACTCTCCAGCTCAGGGGTCTGGTGGGCTTGGGGGCAGTGCCTGTGCCACCATAAGCTGGGCTCTATCAGCGACTCTGCAGGTGTCAAGGACACTTTTCTAAAGTTTCTTTTTTGGTTATGAGCTTCGGGTTTCATTAGAAAAGTAGGAGCAAATAAATCAATCTTCTATAGATAATTCTGAAAAGCTCCGTTTTTGAGAAGGTTGCTGGAAGCCTGGGTCCCTCTGCTCCAGCTCTCACCAGCTCTGGCCATATAGGAACAGAGGTGCTGAAAGGAAGAGCTCTGAGCAAGAGGACCACACCCGCCCTGGGTGGCAGCCGTGTCTATAAAAGCTCAGTTTTATAGACACAAAACTGATAAAACTCTGAGTAAAATTTAGTTCTCTGTTTCTATAAAAATAAAAAGTCTCATAAATATATTTTTTACATGAGTTAAAAATAAACATAGAAAATAAAAAGGGACTGGATTATTCAGAAAACCCCCACTGCCGCGACCCCCCACAAAACCCTTACCTCATAGTCCGTTGTGATCTGTATGGCTCCATCGTGAATCCCTTCCAGTTTTTTTGCAGTAAGTTTGACTCTGAAGACTGCAAAATAGCCTGAGGCTAATATTACCTGCATGTAGTAAAAATGACATCACTCATTAGCCCTACAAATTCAAGTTTCTATGGAAGTGGACAGGAAGCTGTGGGGAATCAGCTGACCTCTAGTCCTCACACACACCAGTCACACTGGATGGCCACACCTCCCTGTACAACACCCCACAATAACACCCATCCTTTAAAGTCCATCTACCACACTTATTGCATGGGCCACTGAGGACACAGCTGCCACCCAGGGCGGGTGTGGTCCTTTTGCTCAGAGTTGCTCCTTCAGCAACTCTGTTCCTGTATGGCCAGAGGGGGTGAGGGCTGGAGCAGAGGGACCCAGCCTTCCACGAGCCCTTCCATCACATTAGTGAAGGGCAGAGGTGGATTCAGGTTCAGGTTCTGAATGCAGCTCTGCAATGTCTTCACAGCTGCTGAGACTGGGTCATATCAACACCAAACCCAAGGCATCCCAGGGAAGTGCGTCAACAACTCTGTGCATAAGGACATTAAACTTTCCTTTTGTAAAAGTGCCCCAAGAATTTCTATTCCAGCCTGCACATAAAGTACCTGAGGCTCCTTCTCACAGAAGGTGATTCTACTGATTCTTTTATCAATAGGCACAAACTCCAGGTCCCCTTTTCAGCAGTGGTGAGGGTGAGACTGGTTTTCTTGTTTAGAGCTGCACATGCTTACGATGCAGAAAAAAAGTCAAGGGAAGATTCTCAGAGGGACCAAACAATGTCTGCCTCACAGCTACTCCCTTCTAGTCTGGGCAGAAACACTGCTAACTGAAGATACCTCTTTCAACATTCAGGGCTCTCCCCCGGTAAATTTGACAAAGGGTTAGTGTAGAACCCATGAGGATGTCTCCTGTAATGACACCTGTGTTATAGAAAGATAAATTTTGCTTGCTCTACAAGTTTGTATGACAAGGTAGAGATCAACCCCTTTGGGATTCAGTGCCCTCATCAGAACAGGGAAGGGCTGAAGCAGATTACCTACCAGGGCCTTTCAATGTCAAATAACCAATGCTGTAAAATTATTAGTTGAGGTATGTGACATAGCAATGGTCTTTATCCGTGGTTTAGACATCCACTTTAGTTTAAGGAAATAAGAAGAAGGCTTACTTACTGATGACTGGTCTGATAAAGAGGATTTTTCCAACTCTGGAAGGTTTGAAATTATTGTAGTTCTATTGCCTCTTTCTGTAGCTACAAGTTCTATGGACAAACCATCTCCTATGATATGCCAACTTTTTATAGCCAGCTTAAAAAAGAAAATATGAAAGTGATTATTTCAACATAAGCATAAAATCCTTAAATCTGATTTAGAATAAAGACAATTTTTTTTTACCTCAATTGGATTGCTGTTTATAATTGCAAATAAAATATTACTTGCTTCTGTAGCACTCAGAACTCCAAAATCTATGAAGCGTTCTTCTATTTTGGGGGGCAATACAAAGTACTGGAAAGTAATTTAAAAAACTGGATTAAACACAAAACCACGCTTATGCGACAGAATGTTACCAACAGGAAGTGACTATATAAGACATACTACAGTGTCTACATATACGTTCAGAAGCTCAAGGGCCAGGAGAGGTCAAGTGCAGCCCCTGGGGACTAGGCAAAAAGTCTGTGGTCTCAGTAGGCACTGTGACTACAAGCAGGTAATCATTCCAACAGTCACTGAAGGAATCACATACAAACAAAGGGGGGACGTCCAGCAGCCTGTCCTCCCAGAGGCTACTGACTTCTGGGAGGACAGGCGGCTGGACGATCCCCTTTGTTTGTATCCTTCCTAACAGTGTTACCTCTTATCTAGACTTCTTTCTTTCCTTGCTCCTGCTCAGACAACTTTGATTTTTTTGTTCTGTTTCCTGTGTTGGAAGAGCTCTGTTCTGTCCTTCTGTTTTATTCTACTGCTCTCCTGATGCTATGCCTTCACCATCTTAGCTTCTTTACTCTCTTGTTCTTTCCTTTGTCCTGGTATTTCCTGACTTTAGTCATCTTTTCCCTACAAACGTACGTCTTGGCCCTTCTTGTACTATTGCTTCCTACCTAGTATTTTTCTTCCATTTAGTTCCTTTTTAGAATCCCTACCATTACAATGATTTAAAAGCAAAATTGAGAGAAAGCAGCATGTGAAAAAGATCTAAGTGGACATCATGACTAGAGGAATCAACTATATTATGGGGAGAGAGTAGTCAACTGTAATCCAAAAATATTTTTTAAAAATTCCAGAAAGAAACCATTTCTAAGTTTTCAACTATGTACCATTCTAAGTAGTGCAATGAAATCCTGTGCTGGCTTATCTGGGCATGAGCGATCCCTCTGTCCGGCGTATCCATGCTGTATATGTGATCTATTAGTCACTTCGCTGTCCTGGTTATCAAATCAACTGTTTTGGTGTTACACTGACTGTTTTCAAGGACCTTACTGTACTTAGAGACCCAAAGTGCAAGGGTGGTGACAACAACAGTGATGGCAGCATTTCAGATATACCAAGAGAAGCTGTAGGGTGCTTCTCTCAAGTGAAAAGGTCAAATTAATGCTTTTAATCACAGCATATTGTTTTAAAAATTCTATTTTACTATTTGTTATTCTTGTCACTCTCTCTTACCTGTACCTAATCCATAAATTAAATGTAACCACGTGCATGTGTGTTTGTGTGTGTGTATATATGTAAGAAAACACAGCATATACAACTGGCTCTTCCAGTTTATGGGTTTCACATCCAGGGACTTCACAAGTTTTGCACAAGTACTATGCCAGTTTACATAAGGGACTTTAGCATCTGTGAATTTTACTATCTTCAAGGGATTCTGGGACCACTCCCCCATCAGATACTGAAGGATGACAATATGGGATTCAATGCCATCCTTGGCTTCATGCATTCCCCGAGGGTCTTGGAACACATCCTCTGTGGATAAAGGCAGAGGAGGCTCCTCATACTGTACTGTTCTATACTGACTAGGAAGGAATTATAGAGCACAGATAATAGCAAAACCTAAGAGAATGCAACACAAATGCCTAATGAGATCTGAAAACACAAAAGACAGCTGGGAAGTTTATATTTTAAAGGTAAATAACATACTTACATCTAAAAAGCCTGTGTAAACCCGCACAGGTAAATGAAATTTAGAAGCATTGGTAATAAGTAAAATGTTGTTATCTATGTGCATGGATGATGTGGATGGCATAAAAACCAGGGTAAAAATGTATCCTGATTCATTAGGAAGAATTAAGACTGGTTTGCTGAAGTTGTGAACCTAGGAAATGAGGGAAGAGGAAAAAAAACAGAAGTGTTAGAATCATCTAATTGGCAGAGCAGCAAGATAAAAGCCTGAAGCGTCCTGGACGTACTTTAAACATTGTTTTGGCTTCTTCTGGCAGCAGCACATCATGTATGAGGATCGCAAAACTGAAAGTGTTAGTAAGGTAGACTGGCCTCTCCACAGGGTCAGCAGGACTGTCACGGATGTGAAATAACGTTGCAGCATGATCAAATCCCAAATAGCTATGTGAAGAAAACAGAAACAAAATAAATCATTTTCATTTCCATGTGTTAATTTAAAATCTAAGTTAGTTTGTTGTGAGTAGTAATTTACATTTAGTATTAAGGACTACATGTTATTTAATGACTCACCACATGATTTAAAACAAATTGGCTTGCAAAATATTGAAATGTAATAAAAAGAACTATTCTTTAATGAATCATGTCAATCAAACAGTAAGAATCAAAAATGTACCAAAAGGCTTTAATCTACTTTGAAAAAAATCATGTTTATCACTGAAACTGCAATCGGCTTTGTTAAAACAACTATAAGTTGTATATTGAACTTGGTTGCAGTTAGTAAGAAAATGAATTACATGTTACTGTCCATTTATAAAAGGTTACAGTTCTAGAAGTACTTATGAGTTTATAAAGAAACATAAATGATTGTTTCAAGTACTGTAATACTTCTGTAATATGTTACAAAAGGAATGACAGAAGAATATGGTTTAAATAATTTAAATATTGAAAAAACCCCACAGATTCATGTTTGCATCACTGAACCTTCCTCTGAACAAAACCACATTATCCCACTTATCTTTTTCTCCTAAGAAAGTAATAAATAAAATATAGAAGGCTCTCCTTTACAGCTGAAGTTGTTCTTTTCAACAAAGCATCTGGGTATGATTTTTGCTAAGGTTACTTAGTAGGAAAACAGAATATGCTGATTAGCAACAAGTTATAAAGCTTATTTTTAAAAGAAACCCAACCATCTAGAACTTCTGTTTGATACAGTATTTCAAGTTTAGAGAGACTCTAGATACTCACCCATCTAAAACTTCTGCTTGATATGGTATTTCAAGTTTAGAATAACTCTTTTCCTTTGCTTTAACAGTTATTTTCCCAGAAAATTGAGATGGTTTTTTTGCCCTTGAAGCTAAAAGGAAGCATAAGAAATAATCTGTCACCTCTTAACTATCAGAGTATGAGCGATTTTATGTAGACTGACAAACTGGGGAGGAAAAAAGTGAGCTTTCAAATTGCCAAACAGAATTTGTTTAAACAATCACATTTTTTTTTTTTTCAAATAAAACAGGGAAAATGTTCTTGTTCTCTTTTTTCTGGTAATGAGCTAAGGAGATCAGGAATTAACAAGTGAACATGCTACCGTGGAAAAGTGCGGTCTGTGCCACTTCTCTGCAGCCACAGGCCTGGCCCTCCTCCCAGGGCAGGGCCTCTCAGGTGCCGCACTAGGATCATTCTCACTCTCTGCTGTGGTGCTGCCTGGTGCTCTGAAGGATGTCCATCGGCATGCAGGGCCTCTACCTGCTGGATGTCAGTTGTCACCCCTTCAGCTGAGACAACCCAAAATGTCTCTAGGTGTCACCAAGAGTCACCTACTAAGAACTGCTAGTTTACAGCTATTCTAAGAGAGAATGGGCAGGACCCGTGCAGCCAGAGTCCTGCTATAAAAACCAACTAAGCAGTGGGGTGCAAGCAAGGTCAAGAGAGTTTGTGCTGATAACGCCAAGGTCGCGGGTTCGTTCCCCGTACGGGCCACCAAATGCGGCAGTCTGGCTGGGCACAATCAGGAGCCACTTGTCAAAAGAAACTAACTTTATTTTTAGAACCACACACGCCAAACAAAACAGCCTCTCAGGAAAAACCCTCAGAGCCTCAACTGCCACCACCGGCTTTCCACAAGCCTCTCTCTCCCCCACAAGCTTTTCTCCACCTCCCACAATCCTCCTGCTCTTGAGGCCGATTGGCTGGGTCACATGGGCGGAGCCAAAAAAGTCCCCCAATGAGCAGCTCCGTGGTCTGAAAGGGCAGGGAAACAGCCCAATGAGCATCACAGCAGAGGAGCCAATCAGCTAGATGTTGCTGGGGCCGCTGTGAGCCAATCATCAGCCGGCAGCTGGAAGTTTGCTGGCAGCTAGAAGTTTGCTGGGGCCCCTTCGGGCTGTGGCTCTCAACATCGAGGAGAGCTCTGACTCCCCGCATCAGCCAGCCCCCGAGGAGCAGAAATGGAGACAAACCCTCTCCCATGGGTCACATTCTCATACTTTCCTCACTGATGAAGTGATACCTGTAGGTTCTGTGGCAGTTTTGAATAGTTTGACCTGGAATCAGACAGTGGACCCAACGTGGGTACCCGAAGATGTTCCTTTCAAAGCATACAAAGCATCTGATGTTTAACCTTCTGCCCTTTAAAGTCCTCCAGGCACACTCCCACCATGAGAAGAATGTGTCTGTCTATGAGTGTGGCAATATGTCATCAACTTCAGACAAAATAAAGAACAAAGAAGGAATATTTGATGGATGGTGACTCTAGATTTTTTAAATTTCCATTAAGCCTCTTACTGTTTTCTGTTTGCTAGGTGGGCATTTCGGGATGTTTTAAATTTTTCACTATTTGTTCAGATATAAGGCTGATTACAAGGACCATTAGGCATTTCAGAGTGTCATGTCATAAGTGGTCAAAAATCTCAAGAAAATTCAGTTAAAAAATCCTATGAGTGACTTTTTTGGGGGTACTCAGGATGGAACTCAGGAGCACTTGACCACTGAGCCCCATCCCCAGCCCTACTTTGTATTTTATTAGAGGTAGGGTCTCACTGAGTTGCTTAGCGCCTCACTAAGTTGCTAAGGCTGGTTCTGAACTCAGGATCCTCCTGCCTCTGCCTCCTGTGCCACTGGTATTACAGGCGTACACCACAATGCCTGGCCCTAAAAGTGACTTTTGATGAGCAAGATGCTTGATAAGTGAACACTGTAGAGGTCACACATATAATGCTCATTTTGAAAATGTTAAACATTAAATAAAACACATTCCCTGACAGACTTCCACAGCAGTCTCACAGAAGTATTTTGGGTTGGGACCTGGTCTTTTCCCATCATATTGAAAACCACTTTTAGGAAAGGCGTTTGTTTTTAAAGATCCTTTTCCTTTGTATATGATTTTACATGATTTCTTTAAGAAACTTTAGGGCTGGGATGATGCTTGGTGCAGCATGTGCCTAGCTCACGGGAACCCCAAGCTCCATTCCCAGGACTACAAAAAAACAACGCAGCAAAATCCAAACAGAGAAGAAACACTTTAAGTGTGTGATGTCCGAAGAGCCAACACTAAGGACACTGCATTTAATGCAGACATCTGCTGGGGGGTCAAGAAGGCACTGGAGAGGGAACTCTTCGCCCTTGCCAGCCAAACTGAGGGGAACCACGTGGCAGGACTGTGGCCAGCATGCACTCCCCTGTTCCTTGGGCTTATGACAGAGCAGATCCTCTGTGTTCTCAGGGCTCCAGAATTACTACATGCCACTCTTTTCTCTGCAGAGCCTATGTCCCTGCAGATGAAGACACCAGTGGTGAGGGATGGGCTCTCTCTGCAGACAGAAGACCACTTACCACAGACTTGCCAGTGAGGCGCTGCCTCCTGACGTGTGCTATGGACGTTAGGATCCTATTTAATCTGGATCCCTGGGGTTTTCACTGAGCTGAGGGATAAGTTCTGCGGGAGTGTGCAGCCTATGTCCTTGCTCCATGTCCTCCCTGGAATCTTCAGCGGGTGAGGAACAGCCCTGGTGCTCTCACAGACACTGCGCAGAACATGCCAGGCCCTGAGACCCCGCTGACCAACTACTCTCATCCAACAGGACCTGAGCAGACGTGGCTTCATCCCAAGGCCAAAGCTGAAGCTGATGGCTCTCACTCACATGAGTCCCTGGGAGAAAACCCTTTCCACAGTTTTTTTTTTTTGTGTGTGTGTGTGTGTGTGTGTGTGTGTGTTTGAGTGACCAGGATTGAACCCAGGGCCTTGTGCATGCTAGGCAAGCACTCTACCAACTGAGCTATGTCCAGAGTTTTAATTCTTAAACACTACAAATATAGTTCAGCAGCATGAAATCACTATTTAAAATATTCTGTGATAGCAAACTCAGTATATGGCTAGTAGAGTAGGCAAGACTGAATTTAAAAATGCTGTAAAATGTGAAAGTCTAGGTTGAGTTAATATTTCAAATGACAAAACATATTCCATGTTTGAAATAATAGCTAATTTGATGATTCTACCATAGAGACTTTTATCCTAGCTTCAGCAGGACTATTTGCTTTGTTTATAAAAGCTAACATATAAAAATGTTACAAAGAACATTTTGCTCTCAAATTTAAACATGTTTCAGAAACTTAAATACTTATCCCTTAATGACAAAAACAAATGGCATCATAATTAAGCCACATTATAACAGATATACCTGATTAGCCTGTTATGAAATATGCCAATCCTAATGTATTTGCTAATGGTTTTCTATTGCTAATACTGACTTAGCTTTATGGAGTTATGGAATATTCTTTTGTGAATTAATGAGATGAGAGTTCATAACGATTTAAGAAAAAACAACCTAAGCAATCATTTAAAATCCGTATATTAAAACAGCCTTGGATTTCTATATTAACAGGTCAACACATGTGCTTTCTAGTTTATCAAAGTACCACCATTATTAAAGAGAAAAAAGTGAATGCTTACCATCAAAACTAATGCTCGCAACCTTGGTATATTTACTTTCTGAAGCTTTTAATGTAATTGGTTTAAAATGTACTGTTACGGCATCATTTTGTGGTGTAGGGCGAACACTCTGTAAGGAAAAAAAAACACAACACATACGGTATTAGTTTGGTCTAATACATTGCTCTATACTGGAACATATGCTAGAAAAGTAAAGCAGAATCGAAATCTGAAGTTTAACCTCTGCAGACCCTTTAAATGGATTAGACCAAACTGGTAACAGTAGCATCTTTATGAAACAATCTGATGACCTGAAGAAAAAAAGCATGACACGTGAGTAAATGGAAGAATCCGAAGACAAACTCAAACACTGGGTCTGAGTATGTAAACTAAAAGTATTTATTTCTCAAATGAGGCTTAATTTGTATATCAGAGAAGGTGACACAGAAATAACTTTTGATAGGGTCCCTCTTAAGAAAATCCACGGCACAAACGAAACATCCAACTGTCTAAAAAAGAATGAGCGTGAGCGAGTAGCTGGTGCCCCGTGTGCAGAAGGCACACCCAACTGCTCGGGCGTCTTCTCTTCCTCTTCAGGGCCCGCCGTGTGGCTAAGGCCCTCTGCTGTTGAGGGCCAGGGCTGAGCTACCAGACAACAGGAATATCGAGACTTAGAAAACCAGACCTTTCTTTTCAAAAAACTAAACCTAAAGTAGCAAAACACCAGTAAAAACTTATATTTTAAGAGGATTTTATAGTAGTTATTTTGATCATCCTCATTGACACAAAGTCTTCCAATTGGAAGTGACTTTAAACTTTCCACCCCTCTCTGTTTTACTGATGAAGAGCACCTTGCCACATGAAGAGACCGTTCCATAGGTGGGCACCATCGGGCAGAACCAAACCAGGTTTCCTCACTGGCCCTGGGCCCCTTGCCTGATGTCCTGTTGCACAAACATATTCATGAACCTGGTGGTCTTGCACACAAGCCTTGATCAAAATTCTTCCTTCACAACCTTGCCTAGTGTGCACAGAGCCCTGGGTTCAATCCCTAGTAAGACAAAACAAACATCCCTCCCCCAACATAAAACAAAACAAAAAAACTTCCTCTTTGGGCTCTAGGTATTTGCTGATTTCTCAGGGGCTTAATGAACTTGATGTCAAAGGCCATCAGGAAGAAAGCTGTTCTTTTTTGTGAAACTCACAGGTGAACCTGAAAACAGCAGGTGCAGGCAGATCCAGCAGGTCACCAGGTCTTTCCCGTGGCCCCTGCCCACCCTTCTCAGCTCACTTACTAAGGAGAAGTCTGCCTGCCCTGAACATCAAAGGATAGTCCCCTGAAGGCACAATAAGCATCTAAGGAGTGTGGAGAAAGAGACCTGTTCCTTTTGCCACAGAATGCCGTCACAGGGAATCCAGGTGATTCCACAGTGATTACTGCTCCTATGTCACTTTGTGCAGCAGGGTGTCCTGAGTGGCTCCGCCCTTGCCTGTGCAGTAGTTCTCAGCTTCTGGCCAGGACTTGGCATCTTAACTCTCCTCTTCTGCTCTGAGAAGGCTTCTCATTTGCCTTTGAAACTCAGACTAGGGCTGGGAGTTGAACAATTCATTCATAACAATATCTTTATTTATTAATAAGTTTGCTGTTGTTAGCAACCTTTTTAAATACAAATCTCCTCATTCCTGGGAGGGTACAGAGCAGTCTGAACTGTAAGATAAACTACAAATGGGAGGAAGCTTCACTCTGCTACTCCACCATACTAACATTTCCAAGAGAAGGGGGCAGACAGGCCCCGTGCCATCCCCTGGTGCCAGAAGCGCCAGCCTGAGGAGACTGCAACGTGCTCAGGCCACTTCCTCCCCTGTCCAAACAGCCAAGGGGGCTGGGGCAAATATTTTCTACTTATCTACAAAAACTTTGTGATTCAATTAATTTTGCCAACTTGGGGTCAAGGTTAGTTAGAGGTGACCTTGGTGAGCAGCTCTGCTGTTCCTGGAGGAATCCTGCAGGTCTGGCTCCTCATTCCTTCACCTGGGCTATGGACCACGAAACCGCGGTGGAACCATCATGCTCCAATGACAATCGGTCAGTAACACCCACAGCCCTTTTTGAATGTTACAGACTGCAAAACCATGCCAGAAATAACTAAGTAATGGTTTTGCTAAAACACAGTCACTGTAAGTAGGAAAAGCTTGGAAGAGTTGATGAAAATGTTTTGCTCACATAAAACACACTATTTTAAGATTTTCCATAACAGAGGTGAATTTTACATGCATTATTATTATTACCTTAAAATAGAGTACACTAATAAGTATTCAAGGGCAACTCATGTTTATAAAAATGGCTTCAATTGTTTATTCATTATCATTAAAAACAAACTATAATCAGTTAAAACCCATTTTCTAAGGAAACAAAACCAAAGCAAAACAAAACATCCAAATTTGTAAGTAGTGGGTTTACTCTGGTGGCTTACTGTGAAAAAACAATACAAAAGCATTCCCTTGTAATACACAAATTTGTAATAACAACCTGTGTTAGTGTCAGTCACTAACTGCTGCTTACTCAAAGATGATCAAGAAGTGGAGAAAACATGGCAAGATTCCCAGGAGAGGCAGCTTGTACAGGCTCTAAATATAGTCTCTGCCTTTTCTCACGATATTCAGACCCAATTAAAGCTCAGTAACTCTCAAGTGAGTCTCAAGAGTCCAGGACATTCTGAAATGACTTACAAAAAAAGCATGTGAGCAAACAAGAATAATAACCTTTCAGTATACAGCAACTGTACTTTGAACAATCTGTGCACAAACTCACTAAAGCATATACCAAGCTGATACTGGCAAAACTAATAAGTCAATCTGTGACTTCTGTGTACCAATTAGCAAGGAAACCCCATGCAAATATTCCTTCGAAGACATGTCAGGCAAACTTATCCTGTCACTCAGACAGCATCAATGTTTTGGAAATATTGAGGAAACCCACTTTTTCAGAGGTGTTATTACAGATGTTAAGAGAACTTAAAGTGGGCATCCTGTCCAGTAACAGGTGAGGAACTTATATTTGGAATCACCTGCATTAATAATCCTATATTTAGAAAGACTACAGTATTTAAACAAAGACAGAATTCCCTTAAGGGGAATTAAATGAGAATAGAAATAAGCCTAGCATTTAAGTACTGTCTAGCTGATCCTAAAAATTGTAAATATTTGTGAAATGGAAGAAGGTAGGAGGAACCCTTCTAAAATGCAGTCTCTGAGCAAGGTATATTATACAGAAAAAGTGGAAATGAACAGGAAAATCCTTAAGAAGTTCTGCACTCGGCTTCCACTGTGGCGGTTTACCCTGTGGCTGATGTGGATGGACAAAGTCACTTAAGTATCAAGCCCACGTGACCAATCTTTTAAACAGAGTTTCCTGAATTTAGGTTTTGAGCTTCAGCACAAGTCATAACAACACTGCTCGGCTTTCCTTCTCCACTATTCCCTATGTGTCTTGGGGACCTTCTCAGAGAGAGAGGCCATGAGCTACAGCAAAATTTGATGCCTCTGTTTTCTTCTGGCTAAACCTGTCCCATGGCATGCACCCCAATTCCATTAGAAGGCATAAAAGTCACCTGTTCTGTGCATGTGTGTGGAGGGAAGAGAGGACCCTGGTTTATGGTGAGCAATGGCTGTGAGTTGGGAAGGGTGGCTATGACTGACGTGGACAGCACTCTACCATCACCTACATCACCTCTCTGCTTCATTGCTCTTTCCTACTAACCTGAATCTCCCCTGCCCCTAGTTTCTCCCCCAGATCTCAAGTCCAACAACCAAAACTAATGGAATGCTTGCAACCTGCCTTCCCTCCGCACGAACACAGATCCAGGATTTCAGTCCACAGGCCTTTTCTACAGTTCTGCCTGAACAGGAGCCTGGGGAGCCCGGCTTGGACAAGATGGCCACCTTCCACCTTCCCGGCCTCCTTCCGGCCTGGGGCATCAGAGGCAGACCAGCTTTCTACCAGTCACCAGGCCACCACAAAAGAGGATTCTTTTGAGCAGGGACTTAATTATGCTTAACCCTATCAGGTGTTTAAAACAAAGAATATATAAACTAAGAAGTAAAAACTTACTGTTATTGGTACATCTTTTGTTCCTGAATTTAATAAATGAAGATTTAAAACTTTTGGCAGATCTGTTAAAAAGAAAAGAAACAGTGTGTTTCAGAGCAAGTTAAGAATCCTCACCATATGAGACATCAAACTAAAGCTGTTTTAGAATATGAACTATAATGATAATTGTGTTAATAAAACAATCATCATATGGACCTGTGTGTTATGAGAACTGCCCCCTCTTAAACAACCAGACAAAAAAGCAAATCAAAACAAAACAAAATCTAGAACATAATTTTTATTAGATTCAGATACTAATAATCTTTTGGTTTTCCAGCAAAGCATAATGAAGCAAATTAGTAATGTACAATGGGAAATTATCACATTAAAAGCAACTCTAATTTTCAAAAATGTGGTCTTCAATCTTAAATAACTAAATTTTAATTACATATAATCCAAATAAATCCCCAATTACAAGTACTCTTCTATTTTCCTTAATAAAAAAATTTATTTGGTTGTTTTCAATTTTAAAATTTGAAGTCTTTCTCTGACCATATTGGATAAATTTTTAACATTATGTCACTACAATGAGACTGAATAATTCATATTTAACCAAATATACAGAAGAAAAATCTTTTGGCTTCCTTTATTTTACTATTAGAAAAAAAAAAAAAATCAGCGTAACAGCATGGGTGAGGCAGCGGGGTAAGACCCGTCTTCCATCCGGAGGTTGCAGCAGGCCCTGCCTAGCTCTCCCACTGGTGAGCACTGCTACCCTCAAGAGGAATGAGATGAAACTTGTGAATGCTATGAGTCCCTAAAAGGAGATTTTTTTTTTTTTTTTTTTTACAAGACCACTCAACTCAGTGGTAAATAACTTTCAAAGCTGAATTACAAAGTACAGAACAGCCATTAGGCACTAAATCCATTCAGGAATTATTATTATTATTATTATTTTACCTTGTGTTCGTAGTGTACCAAAATCTAACATTTCAGTTGAGGAATAAATTCCAGGAGCTTGGAAAAAAAAAAAGTAAACAATTACCTTTCACTTTGCCAGAGTAAGATGTACAAAAAGAAAACAAATGAACGTGCCATTTTTCTGTTTTCCACTAACCTGTTGTAACTTCAACCTCCACGGGAAGAATGATAAACTCTGTGCTGTCAGAGGCATTGGTCTTTATTCTGATGAAGGCTGTGTGATTATCTGCTTCTCTGGATGAAAAACTGGCTCTCATTACTCCTTTGGTTTCATAAGGAGGAATTTCCTGAATAAGCAGAGAGCACAGTATTTGAAATGTCGCAAACCTACCTTGTTTTACTGATTTAGATCACATTGACTGAAGGATGCATTAATATTTTATGTATCTACTAAGAAAAAAACACACTGACAATTAAATATGCTATTGGAGCTGGGCATATAGCTCAAGGGTACAGCTCTTGCCTAGCAGGGGCAAGGTCCTGGGTTCAATCCTCAGCTTTGCAACAAAAATTAAAATAAATAAAGCGAGTTTTACTGCAGTGGTCCCCACTGGTTATCCCAGCTTCTTAGATCGCAGGTTTGAGGCCAGCCTAGGCAATAAAGTGAGATACTGTCTCAAAATAAAAATTTTAAAAGTGCTGGGGATATAAGCCCCTGGGTTCAACGTCTAGTATCACCAAAATAAAACCCTTAAATTTCTCATGAACACTTCACACTAGTTGTAACATGGGCTTCAATTGTGGAGAATGTTAGAATGTGAAAACAACAACAACACAAAAATAACACTTAGAACTGACAAAATATGGGATGTAAAGTGAGAAAAGTAAGAGTCAAATGATCTGAAAAGAATTTAAAGTTGCAAAGTCACCACTAAAGGGCAGAGCTGACCTACAAATCAGTTACTGGGTCATGTTAGCAGTGGTAAGGTTTCATGCCTAAGTTCTCTAGCCCAACAGAAATGTCACCACCAGAGGGAAAATATTTTTCTAGAAGAGCATAGTAATCTATACAGATAACCAAGAGGGCTTACACTTGCTTTCATTTAAAGCCTAACAGAACAAAATAAAGGTTCCCAAGCAAATGCACAGTCTAGGGATGCTCTACCACTTGGCTAAATCCTTAGCTATGCCCCATTTTGAGACAGGATCTTGCTAAGTTGCCCAGGCTGGTCTTGGACTTTCGATCCTCCTGCCTCAGACTCCAGTGTCCCCTGTTGACAAAACTGTTTCTAAATTTTCAAGTCAACTTTCCAAAACTATCACCTGTACATCTCTTCCCTGATTGACTCTGGTTAGAAGAGAGAATGGAGAAGCCTTTCGTGCACGTGCGCATGTGTGGATGTGTAGTTCCTGGATATTCTTTAATGTGGCTAATATTTGTCAAGAGAAAGTGATTCTCTAAACATGGAAATAAACTGGTATTAAATATTTAGTGACACTGAAGGTAGATGGAGATCATCCAAGAATTTAAAATGTCCTTTGTTATCCCAGAGAATGAACTAAAGTTCTCTCTGCAAATGCCATCTCCTCTAGCAACAGTGACACTGAATGTTAAATTCTCTACCTTCAGAAATACAATGAATCCTTCCCACTGTTTGCTCCCCGCCCAAAGAAAACTTTGTATATAGCATATCATCAATGACCAGGTTCAGAGGCAACGTTTCCAATGCAGTGCTGAGAAATTGCTTCCGTTCCACACAGCGGGCTAAGGCTCTGGGCGGCTTTGTTCACTGATTTTTCTAAGAAGCACAACTTATATTTTCTCCTCATTCTTTCATTCAACTTTCAAATATATCTAATATACAGTTAAGGTTTCAAGACATTAAAGAAAAGTCCCCTATATTTCTTCAGGCAACAAAGAGTTAGGTATTTTCCAACTCTTCATTGTATTTAAGAAACAACTGGCTTCCACTCACCCACAGCTTCCTGGTTCCTCCCTGTTGCCCTGTTGGAAGCTCCAGGTGAAGGTCTCCTCCACTTGAGTACATCTCTACCACCTGGGACAGAGGACCACATGCTGGTTAGTGTCAAAAATCACATTCTCAACCTGAGTGACTTGCTGTTTCAGAAGTAAGTTTGGTATCATAACTGTTTATCTGAAAAAGTGTGTCCTGATATAAATGTAGGATACCACATCTTATCACTCAATTCAGTGCCTCATATGCATAACCAATGGTGGTACTGTTAATTAAAACAAGATAACTGAAAATTAAACTTAGAAACAGTGAATCTGGTTCAGAGACTAGGTTAAAAAGCAACAGAACAATTCTTTTTCACATAAAATAATTTGAGGAAATCATTTTCAAGTATTAGAAATACCTGTTTCGTATTTCTTGTAGAAACGTGTTTCTTTAATAATACACATATATCAAGAGATAGCAGCTTATCCAATAACTACAACCATGACAGAGTGAAGAGATAATTAGCCAGAGATACAAAACCAACCTAGTACAGTATGGAAACATCTGGTTTCTGGGGAAGGGACAGAGGTTAACCAGGACAAGGGCCTGGCTGAACAGGGGGAAGAACTCCTCAAGTTCTGTGGCTCAGCGGAGTACCTATGCTTGACAGTGATGAACTAACTGTCTATTCAGAGTAGCTAGTTAAAAGGATTTCAAAAGTTTCCAACACAAATAAATGATAATTTCTGATGTGAGAGATAAGCCAGTGACCCTGAGCTGGTCATTACTCTTTGTATATATGTACTGAAATGTCACAGTGTACATACCTCAAGATACATACAATCACTACAGGTCAGAACAAAACCACGAAACATAAAAAATATCTGGCTTCTACTGGTAGCAAATTAACAGGTCCTAATAGCTCTGTGACTTGTGCTTACACTTACAATTTTTTAGAAAAGGCCTAAGGTTATCACTGATACACAAAAAATAATCCACATTTAAGCATACAACTGAGGAATTCTGACATATGTTTGTAGGTACGAAGCCGTCACTGCAATTAAGATACCAAGTAGATCCACTGCCCCCACCTTATGCCCTCTGCAAACTATACTCCTTTTCTGCCCCTTTCTATTTCCCAGAAATCACGGACCTCTCTGTGTCAGTATAGATTAGCTTGCATTTTCTAAAATTTATATAAAGGGGATAAACAGTATGCACTCGTCTGGCTTCTTTAATTCAGTGTAATTATCTTGAGATACACCATTTTGTATGTATTAATAGGTTGTTTCTTTCTATTTTATGGCTATTTTGCAGTTTCTATGCATTCACTGGTTTCTCCAGTGTGCAGCTATGAGGATAAAGCTGCCTTGACACCAAGTACAAAAGCCTTGGTGTGGAGACCTGCTTTCCCTTCTTTGGGGTTAGTGCCACAGAACAGGTCAGATGTCAGGAGACTTTCCTATAAAGGCAGGTAACCCTAGCTCTTTGAAAGAAGGAATACATTTCATCAACTTAACTAAATCTGGGGTGATGTAGAAGGGAAACTTCCACTTGTTTAATCACAAAAAGTCCCCAGAAGTCAATACAAAGGACAAAGCCAGGGAAGCTGTAATACTGAGTACAAGCTTGGATATTTTTGTTGTTTTTTCTTCTTGTGGTGCATATTGCTATGAAAGCATTGCCTTTTGCAAAGACTGAAGGGCTAAGATTTCCTGACTGTAACTCATCTGCTGACCTCCTCCAGTGCTCTCCTAGAGCATAGACTGTGTCAACCATAGCAACACCCTGACTGCTGCGGGGATTGCAGACCTTCTTCTGAAAAGCCAGAAAATATCACACAATAGTTCATTTAATCTTTCAAGGTAACAAGGAAAGAAGCATAATAATGTTTGGAAACAAGATTGCTACTGATGATAGAGAAGATGAGTAGGAAATGGAGACTGAAAAACTCTGAATTACAAACCAAAGGAAAATCGCATTAAAACCAGGAACTGGTGACAGTCTGATTTTCATCTAGTACTATTTGTCCTAATTTAGTAGAGTTTAGAAGAAAAGGTGGACAAACAACATAGTCAGAATATAATTTATGTTAAAAAAGTATATTTGTGTGCCCACATGTGCCTGCAAATGCACAGAAAAAGGTGTGAAGGACATCATGCAGATCCCAGTGGGGTCTCTGAGGAGGGTCTCTGAGGAGACTGTAGCTGTGTCGTCCATATGACAGATACCAGCCACATGTGCTCATTTACATTTAAAAACTGGAACAAAATGAAATTAAATGTTCAGTTCTTCAGCGACCACAGCCACATGAGGATAGTGGTTACTGTCTTGGACAAAGTAGATGCAGAATTTTTTTGTCATCAAAGTTCTGTTGGAAAGTAGGGCATTCAAGGGGACCTCTGCTTCACTGGTATAACTGCTGCATGCTTTGGTATCAGGCAGATCACATGTGTTTGTGTATAATAAAATAACTGAATGCATTTTCTTGCTGTACAATATTTTCTTAAATCTGAAGGCAAGTCAACCAACACAGCACTACCTATTACGGGACTCTTGGGGTCCAAGAAGGCAACTTTAATTTCTCTTCCTCTCCTGTGTGCTGGTGAAACGGCCACTGTGGTAAATCCTGAAAAGACTAGAGGAAATGAATTCAAAGTAGTAGCTGTTCTAGACGACAGGTGGGTAACTCCAAAGGCTGAGGGGAAAAGGTACAGACCCCAGGCTATTTAAACAACTGGAGATGACCAACACCTTAGAGTCCTACAAGCTCCATCTTTCTGTGTGACAATCAGCTTCTGGGTCTGTAGCCTGCTAACCACAGAGGGCACCCTGGGTGCTCTGTAACACCTTTTCCACAGCAGGGTGGGGTGACTCACGCACCAGGGTCTGCGAGACATGGTTTTATTTCATTGAAAAAAATAAAGAAAGCAGCCAACTGGGGCTTCTGTATACATCTGTGATAAAAGTTAGCAGAACAGGGAAAATTCACTGTGCTCTAAAGTAGCAAAGTGTCTAAATCAGATTGATGATGAAGACAGCAACACTTTTGATTTGCAAAAGCAGAAAGCAGAGCATTTCCCTCCTTTGTGATGGAGATATCTAAAGAAATTAAAACCGGGGCAATGAACTTTTATCAGTAGCTCTTCTCAGCCAAGTGTTGGGAGGGACTTCCTTTTGGTTGCTTCAGTTGTAATTCCTAAGTGTCTCACTATTCAGGCTCTGAAAATCTCCCTTTGTCCCTCCTCATTTCCCTTTCATTTCTTATGAACATTTATGCCAGGGGACCAAGGAGGATGAAAATCGTAGCCTTGCACTTGCTACATAGTATATGATTTTTCTTCTTCCTACCATTTTCAAGCTACTGTTAAGTCCTGTGATGTGGTCCCGAGAACTCTGGGCCCTGGGTGTATTTATGATGGACGATTCTGGAAAGCATCCACATCTCCTTCTAACACAGACAACACAACTCAGAGCTCTAGTGGCTACATGTGTTAGCTAGGTGGAAGTCGCTGGTGTGGGGAGGGGATTTTAGGAAACCTCTGAAGGAGTGACACTTGCCACACTTGCCACTCCCACTGCAACAGAGACAGGGAGTGGGTGAGGGGAGGTTTCTAGGCTGGCTAAGATAAGGAGTTCAATTTTATAAATAAGAGTCAGTTTGCTTGATTAATTCTGTATTACCCTTCGCTGGATTTTAATTTTCAAAATGCCATCACCAAAAATTTATTATTACAAGAAATAAATGCAAACTATTTTTTAAAAGTTTATACTGAACCAAAAAGAACTCAGTTTTTCTGTACAGTTGAACACTTTTCAAAGTAAACACAGAACACCCTGAACTATAAACACCTGAGAAGCTACTAAAAATGGTCCCCAAATTGAAAATCCAAACTGCTGTATTCCAAAATTCAGACTACAGTACAATTGTATTAAAGTTAACACCCCCTTAAATGCACTTATAAAACCCTGAAAGTTTTAACAAACAGATTATATGCTACAGAATTCTCACCAAAATGAGGCTTAATTAAAACCATTTCCTAAACTCACCTGTAAAGGCTCACTGTGAGGGTTGTGTATGTTTATTATGGGTGAGAAACTGCTATTCACAGGCACTCTGGCTCCAAGGAATGGCCTCAATCGATATGGATTTGGAACTCCAACACCAAATACCTATTTTGAAGAAGAAAAAAACCCCTCTGAGCTGCTTTTGTAACTACCATTTTTATGGTTACAATTCTGCTTGATCTAAGGAGACTGGCGAATCTAATGTAGATAGAAGAGTAATAATACCCTTTTTAAAAACTGAATTTGGCTACATATTTGATTTACTCAATGTATGTGCATTTGGAATGACGACTATAATATGTTGGAAATGGAAATGGCAGCAGTCCTTCATGGAACACACAAAAACAAGAGAAAAGGGACTCATAAGATTTCAGACAGACCACAGTTAAATTTAGCCCTATGATGACTAAGCAGGGTGAACCAGTTATTCAAATGACACACACTTATTCAGTGTCTGTGATGTGTGGTGCGCAGGATCACAGGTGTGCGTGCATGCACACACACACAGCAGTCATCAATTTAAGAGTGAACAAGATAAATAATGTGCCTACTCTCATTGAAACTTACAATCTAGTTTTGGGACAGACTAGATGTCAACAAAAAAGGTCTAAAAACATCCCTCTGGCTCAGAGTGGGTCCTGAACTGGGGATAGGGATGGGGCTAGGGAGGAGGGGAGACAGTTAGCTGGCTGCAGTGTAATCCAGAGAGTGCTCATGGTGCATGAGGAGGGAAATGGACAGGCTCAGGAGACACTCAGGAGGAAGACTGGGAGAATGACTAGGTGTGGAGAGGTACAGATGGAAGACAGCTGGCCTCGGGCTAACCGCAGCCCTCAGAGAGTCCACACTGGCTGCAACCAGTGGAGATGCCTCTGTAGGGCCACGACTTCCACTCTTAGATACTGTCTTCTTGCTTGCTGGTCAAGTGCATGTTAAACGGGGATCATCTACACAGCACTCGGAACTTACTGAACAAAGCAGCTGTTACTGCTTACTGAAAGCCTCTGAAACAACCCGTGAAGGCTTATCCAGTGGCAGCAAGCAGAACACGGCACTTCACTAAAATGGAAAAGTTTACTCTGATTCTTATTTTCAAAACAGATAGTGCTCTAGAGACTGGAGAGGAAATGTTTAAAAAAACAAAAAAAGGCATAGTAAGTAAGAACTGAAACACTTGAGTTCCTAGTAGCAAACTAGGATAACTGGGGCAATCACTGAACCTTCCTAAATTTCAACTTCCTCGTCTAAAAAACCATGAGAATAATAAAATCTAATGCAAGCAGAAGTTCATATTGTGTCGACAAATACAAAATTCTTAATAATCTTAATATATAAAAATCTTGATTCATACACAGAATGGCTGATTTACAAAAGATTTATTATATGATTCCTATAAACATGAATTTTCTTTAATAATCCAAACAAGGAATCTATGTAAAATAAATTGATCAAAATTTGAACAATATACCTCCTAAAGAAAAGCAGGCACATACATTTTAATTTCAAAGTTATTATTAAATATGCTTCATAAGTGTGTTAGTCTTTAAAAATTGAGTCAGTATAAAAATACTTTTTACTATTCTTTTGTTAATCTCATATTAACACTTTAGCTATAGTTTTAAGATTATTTGTTCACAGACTGATGTCCATAGTGAATATAAAAATGCTGTAAGTCTAAACTCTTACATTTCTATTATCTCAAGTTTCTGAAGTGAGTTCTTAAAAGGTTGTCATCTGAAGTTGGCGATGATGATTATATTTTATAAAAATAAATAAAAGTTTTAATTCTCGTTCTTACCTGGTAAGTAAATACCCCATGATTAGATGTGTTAATAAATAAAGTATTTTCTACATTTCCTACTACTCTTGCAAGAAAAACTACATCAAATGATGTATTTCCTCCCGGAAGAATTTTCTGGAAAAAAATAAAATAAAATAAAGTTAAACTGGTGACCCTCCCTGCCCCCCAAAATCTGATCATACTGGCCAAAATTAGCTAAAGTTCTCTATAATGAGTATCTTAGAATCATTTACATAAATTAGCTTTTTTTCTTTAAAATTTACGCATTAAGTTATGCGAACTATTGCACAATGGAAAATAACAAAAAGATGTCTTCATAATGGATGTCTGCAGTCACATGGCTTGTCCATTACCAGCCCAGAGCCCTGTACAACAGATGGCTGCCTTGGACTCTGTCATTCAGTGTTTGCCAGGCTGGAATGAAGTACCTCATTATAGGCAGTTCCATGACCAGTCAATCAAGCAGGCGTTGGACTGAAGCTGAGCTTTTCACATAGATGTACTACCCTACTACTAAGCAGCAGCTTGTATTATTATTCTGAAGAATAAGCCCAGGCCCGCACCCCTCCCACCTCTGCCATCCATCCACATAGGCACAAAATGTCCTTGTAACTTAAATTAGGAAAGAAGGCAAGGGACAAAGTACATGTGGGATCTCACTCCTGTTATCTGGGGCAGACTGAAAACGTCACTGCAGTCAAAGAAATAAAAAATTATTACACAAAACAACAGGGGCTGTTCAAGGCTGGGGCTGAAATTCTGCTTGCAGTGAAGCCTTAAAAGGCATTTAACAAGGGCTGGGATTGCGGCTCAGTGGCAGAGCGCTTGCCTCGCATGTATGAGGCACTGGGTTCAATCCTCAGCACCACATAAAAATAAATAAAATAAATAAAGGTATTGTGTCCGTCTAGAACTAAAAAAATATTTTAAAAAAAGGCATTTAATAAGCAAAGCTGATAACCTCTCCCATTCTGAGTACAAGGCTACGACTCTAAAATACTCCAAATTATAGCTCAAAATACATGGCACTGAGACTCTGCTTTGCTTAAGGATGAAAAACGTTGGAAAGAGCATTCCTCCTGCATTATCAGCAACAAAAAGCGGAAAAACTTAAAAAGTCACAATTGTCCTTGAACTATATCAGAGATTGGTTATCAACCACCCAAAATCTCAGGAAGACAAACACTTCCAAGGAGAGATGGAATGTGACTACTGGCTCACCCAACATAGAGAATGGTACAGTCGAGGCTACCACCAGGAGGTAAAAAAGAATTCAGTGAAAATGTTTATAGAGTTTAAAGGCTGTGTGTGTGCTCTCCCAGGAGAGCACAGAACCCCTGGAAGCTGTGACCACTAGGTGGAGCCACACCGGAGTCAGAGATCAATGACATCCACATCTGCTGAGTCCCTAGAGAGTCAGACATTGAACAGTGAGTGCACTTTTGAATAATCCACAGCTTATGTAAGTAGTCATGAAAGAAATTATATTTTGAGTTGATTTGAGAACACAATGTGTACAAATTTGTGGGCAGCAGTTAAGACAATACTTCAAAGGAAATTTTAGTATCAAATGATTATTTTGAACATAAATGTCTCAAATCAAGAATCTATGTTTCTGCTTTGAGAAACTAGAAAAAGAGTCAATTAAATCCAAAGTAAAAGGAAGAATAATAAAGAGAGGAGGAAAAATTAAACAGAGTATAGAAAAAAAATTAATAAAACCAGTGCTGGTGCCAGAAAAAGGCCCATAAAACTGATAAAAACTTCTATACAGAATAATTGAATGAAAAGCGAGAGGATGAGAACAAAAAAGAAGGAACTAAAATATGAGTATTATTGCTGGGCACAGTGGTGCCTACCTATAAACCCAGTGGCTTGGGAGGCTGAGATAGGAGGATTGTGAGTTCAAAGCCAACCTCAGCAAAAGTGAGGTGCTAAGCAACTCGGTGAGACCCAGTTTCTAAATAAAATACAAAATAGGGCTGGGGATGTGGCTCAGTGGTCGAGTGCCCCTGAGTTCAATCCCCAGTACACCCCCTGCAAATAAGTATTATTATATACTCTTTATACATAAAAAATGGTAAAGGAATATTACGAACAACCCTATGTCTATAAATTAAAAAACTAGAGGAAACATATACCCCTTTTCATTTCTATTCAGTTGGCAACGATCTTTTAATTTGTATTTTCATATTGGTGGGGGGTATCGGAGATTGAACTCAGGGACACTTGACCACTGAGCCACATCCCCAGCCCTATTTTGTATTTTTTTAATTTAGAGACAGGGTCTCACTGAGATGCTTAGTGCCTCATTTTTGCTGAGGCTGGCTTTGAACTCGCAATCCTCCCGTCTCAGCCTCCCGAGCTGCTAGGATCACAGTCTGCGTCACTGCACCCCGCATTGTTGTTTTCTTATTTGATTTAAGTTGCCAAAGTCGTCCTTATTATACTTAGTAATACAGTGCAAAGATCTAAGAAGAAAAAGTTAATATCCTCAAGCCTTGTCCATTCTCACCCCTCAGGTTATCTAGTTAACCTGAATGTCTGTAACTTGATCTATCTCTTATAATCAAAGGTACATAGATTCTTTGCTTTCTATAAAACATGACATTACATCCTGCTCCACCACATGCCTTTTTTACATAAACACATGCATATTATTCACAGCATATCCTAGATTAACAGATACAGATCTATTTCATTCTTTTTGTCATCTGTACAATATCCCATACAAATGCTAAATCACGTTCTGTTCAATTCCCAACACCATGCTTGAACATCACAGTTTAACCTAAAACAGAATAAATAATGTCCAGTTTCTACAATGAATTAAAAATAGTCATTAGTATTCATTAATGGCCTTCAACCCATAAAATTATTTTTCACTCTAAAGCACATACATGTAAATGGACCAAAACATTTAGACTGAAACAAAGTTTTTCTTAGTTTTCAGTTTGCCTGGAAATTGATTTACTCAAAAAATTTCAGTCAATCAAAGACAAAATTATTTTTGTTTCCTTGTTATGTGTGTAAGGCATCCCCTCCATAGTTCAAACAAGTGAAATATGACTATCCATACAATATTAAAAGACTGTATCCTTTGATGCAAAACATACGTTGTATATGGGACTAACCTGCAGTCTTAATATTAGGTAACTTTTAACTATAATTAGAAAAATATGGGGCTGGGGATGTGGCTCAAGCGGTAGCACGCTCGCCTGGCATGCGTGCAGCCCGGGTTCGATCCTCAGCACCACATACAAACAAAGATGTTGTGTCCGCCAAAAACTAAAAAAATAAATATTAAAAAATTATCTCTCTTTAAAAAAAAAAGAAAGAAAAATATATTTAATTACTAATAACTGTAGATAAATTAATAATTGAAGATATATAAAGAGAAATAAGATGTCAGAAAAACACATTTCTACATCTCTTACCCTACTGGTTAATATGAAGGTGGCATCAGTTAATAAAAATTTTTTATTGCCAAAGAAGTTAAGACCTGCCTAGGATGCTGAGGATGATGCAGGGAGGCAGAGTTGCAAGGACACACAGAAAGGTCTGCTCGCCTGGGTGCAGAAACACCAAAGCCCTGGCTGCAGGCACAAAAGCTGAGGAGGAGGGGAAGGAGGTTATTTCTTCCCTCAGGAGTTCATTCTCTCTCCCTTCCTCCTCCTGAGCTTCTGGAGTCAATGTTACCGCAGGGAAGAAGATGGAAAGATAAGGAGGAGGAACAAAGGTAAAAAAAGCAGATTGCAGCTGTATCCTTTGAAGCAAAATCTGGACCATCTAAATGTTGCTTTTACTGTTTAATTCCACCTCCTGACAGCAGAAAACACAGATCTATTTTTAACTTGTTCTTTGATTATGTACACTTTTATTTATTTATTTTTTTTTGTGGTGCTGGGGATTGAACCCAGGTCCTTGTGAATTCGAGGCGAGCATTCTACCAACTGAACTATATCCCCAGCCCCAGTTTATATTTTTAAGAATTTCCAGGAAAACTATTCTCTTCACATAAGTTCATCTGTAGAAACAGATCTAGTTCAGAAATGGTAAAATGGTGATCTTTAGCTAATGTTGTTAGGTCCACACTGTTTCTAAAACTGAGTTCATTATCTATGTGTAAAAACTGGGAAACATAAAAATTCTTATTCCTGATTTTTCTTGAAGAATCAGAACTGTGTATGGACTGACACTCTCAAAGGCCACTAAGACTGCAGCCTTGGTGGGCCACATGCTCTCCACAGAACTCCCTGTCCCTCTGGCTTGTGAAGGTAGAGAAAAGAGTGAAAACACTGGCCTTTACCGCAAGTAAAGCTGGTGTTCAGAAACAACAAACATCACTTGAACTAGCAATGTTAAAAAAGTTATAAATAAAACGTGTAGTGCAGATGTGAACTATTTTTAAACTATTTCCATGTCTACCTGCCCTCTAACTCAACACACACACAGGCACTGAGGAAAGCTGGCTGGTTCTACATGCATATGAGTGTAGGACACAAGCCAGCCACTGTAGTGCAGTACCACTGGGATCACTGGGAGGCTAAGGGCCCTAGACTTCATCTTAGTTCTTTTTTTTTTTTAAGAGAGAGAGAGAGAGAGAGAGAGAGAGAAGTTTTTAATATTTATTTTTTAGTTTTCGGCGGACACAACATCTTTGTTTGTATGTGGTGCTGAGGATCGAACCCAGGCTGCACGCATGCCAGGCGAGCGTGCTACCGCTTGAGCCACATCCCCAGCCCCTTCACCTTAGTTCTTGAAAATAACTGCATAACCTGGGCAAACCCCTCCAGGATAAGGCTTTTCATTGTACACACAGGTCTATCAGAACTAGAATTCTACTAAGACCTTTGCACATTTATAAGAATTGTGGAGTTATCTTTTAGGTACAACAAACACATTGATAATGAACTTAGGTGAAATTTACTTTCAGAAACATTTAAGAAAAGAGATATTTTCCATTAGTACTACAAAAAATTTATTACCAAAATAACATGATGACTTATCAATACTTCATTTATAAAATGCGTTTAAGTGAAAAAAGTCAAAATTATTTTTTTTAAATCCTACAAGTTGCTACCTAATAACATATGATAAAATAGGATTTTAGAAATGAGAAATGTAAAAATCTAAACAACTGATATAAAACTAATAGCTTCTATGTTTAAAAAAGTTCCTTTTTTGTTCTTTATTGCATCTCTTCAGAGGAGTCAGTGGAAAGATGAAATTAGGTTCCATTTATTTACTTCTCTCTGATACTAGATATTTATACATTAAAGCTTAATGCATTCTCTTAAATTCAAAACTTAAGATCCAATTTTTTATTTTGATAAGAAAAAAGTCCTTTTTTAAAAAATAACATAACAAGTCCACTGACTAACTACAAAACTGTAAGTAAAATTTTAGAGCATGCCTGCGGTAGAGCCCTAACACGGTCCCAAGATGCCTGTGACTATGCCGGGGCCTTGCCCCTGTGGTTATTTACAAGGCATGGTAAAGGATTTGGCAAATGTAATCGCGGCTAGCAGTCAGCTGACTCTCAGTTAGTGGAAAGGTAGGCCATGAAGATGGCCCTGAGCCAGTGCCACGAGTCTTCAAAAGCAGAGTTTGCTCCACTGGTGGCAGAAGAGGAAGAGTAAGGGGAAATAACACATTGCTGCTGGCGTGGATGTGGAGGGGCCCCTAAGAAGGAATGTGGGTGCCTCGGGCTGAGAGGGGTCTGTGGTTAACATCAGCAACTGAATGGGGCTTCAGTTCCACAGGCACAGGAACTCAATTGTGCCCACAACTCGAATGAGTCTGGAGGTGGATTTCCCCTCAGCGCCTCCAGACAAGGGCTCAGCCTGGCAGCCTAATCTCCCCTGTGACAGCTGAGCTAACAACCCACTGGATTCGCAACCTACTGACTGCGTGCTAATGAGTGGGTACGGTCTTAAGCCATCAAATTTATGATAATTTGTTGTGCACCAATAGAAAGATGCCAAGAAATTATTAAGAGAAAATCAACTGACTGTAAGGATATTTAAGATTCCCAGCTGTTTTGTGTTGAGAAAAACAATGTCTTTTTAAGGGAAGGAGTAATAACTCTCAGGAAACTGAACAAACTCAAATCTAGGAAAGATAAGAAACATTCAAGCCAGATTCTAATTACAGTGAATAAAATTATTCATCAATATCCAACTAAGCACCCAGGAGAGATAATTTTTAGCAGAGAAACTTACCCTATTTTGAAAAAATGATGCATGAAAATGTGATGTTGTAGCAGATATGGATACTAAAGTAATGGTTTCTTCAGAACTAGGATTATGTAAGTAGACCTTCTCCATTTTTGGCATTCCAACTGGCCTGTAAAAATGAAAAGGCAACTGTTACAAATACTTCAAAGATAATTCTAATTGTAAAGATAAGTACCAGTCATTTAAAACATTAAATAACCAAATTATTAAAAGTTCATATTCACATACATTAAAATATCAAATTGATTAAAATGTAAAATTACACACAAAATACATTTCACTACTCAGCAAATATTTATTGAGTGTCTGTCACAGGCTACCCGCTATGCCAAGTGCCATGATACAGCAAAGTCAGTCTCAGCCCAGTGAAACCTACAACGTAATGAGGAACAGGCAGGGACCAAGTGGACCAGATTGGACCTTTTCTCTCAGCAATGCCACCCTGCCCTCCTATAGACTGAGAACCATGTACTTCTCAAACTCCACTGGTAAATAAATGGGATGGATTCAAACTAAAAAGCTTCTTCTTGGCAAAGGAAACAATCAATAATGTGAGCATAGAGCCTACAGATTGGCAGAAAATCTTTACCACATGCACTTCAGATCATGCATTAATCTCTAGGATATATCAAGAATTCAAAAAACTTAACACCAAAATAAAACAAAACAAAAATTAAAAAACCAAGTTTGCTTTCAAAGTGAAATCTAATGAAGTCCACTTAGTGCTTCTGTAGCCATTCTTCTCAACTTATACAGCATCAGAGAATTCTGCATGTAAATTACACATTTTTTTTTTCTTAGCGTTCTATGGTCATTTCATTGTCCTGAGCCTTCTCTCTCCGGCAAGATTATCAGCACCCTGAGGACAAATGACACATCACATACTTTCTGCATGCTGCTCATAATATCTAGCACAGTCCCAGGCATGCATGTGTGTTTGCTTGCTTTCTCTCTCTCTCTCTTCTCTCTCTCTCTCTCACACACACACACACACACACACACACCCTCTCTCTCTCCTGATCTGATCTTGCCCAACACAAACAAGTACGTTGCTAGGTTTTCACAATCCCAACATTCCACCCAGACTGGGTGCTCGTGATTGACCCATGTCTCAGCCAACTGTTCACTGTTTTTCTCCTTAACCTCTACACTAATTCAAACTGTCACCTTCTAAGTCAAATACAACCTTCTTTCATGAGGCCCTTTCTTCATGCAACCATTTTAGGCCATGCTTTTAAAAACTTTCTGTGCTTTTTAATTCAAATTCAAGGTTTGTGTTTAAACCCCCAACCCTAAGAAGCTGAAAATGCAGAGGCAGAACTGTGTTTTCTATCTGGTTCAAGTATCCAGCTTGCTTTTGTCCTGAAAGAAGTTTTGTCTCTACCTTTTCTTCCATTCAGTTGATCGCCTCCAATTTAAGACTTGGGAAATTTGATTAAACAGTGAACCCATGATCATTTTTGCTAGCTAAAAAAATTACTTGGGTTTTATGCATCTTCAAAGATGGCAAATTAGTAGTACATATGGGGTCTCCTTGCTACTCCCACCTAATTTGCCAACATTGCTGAACGAACTTGAAAGTTAGAAGGAGATATGGATTCTGAGAAATAACAACAAACCCAGGGAGAAATCCTTGGGGAACTGAAGGCTGCCTTGAACTGGCAGTTGGGAGGAACGAGGGGGATTGCGGGGCAAAGGGCAGCCCAAGCTGACACAGAGAGGCCAGGCAGAGGAAGGCTTCCCAACACTTACTCTCCACCTCCTTCCCTGTTGTCTTGAGGCCATCAGAGCCGACTCCTGCATCTTGGAACAGGGGAAAGGCTGGCAGCGGCTAGGAGCTGAAGATGGCTGTCCTTGAGCTCTTCTCTGAATGCCCTCTCCGGTCCTCCAAAGTCTTAGGGCTGGGGGATTACACTTTAGGAAGACACTTCTACCCAACATGCTTATGCCTAAACACTGTTTCAGAGACAGTAGTGACAAATATGGGCAGTCGACAGTGTGTGCAACCAGGGTTCTCCACCTCGGGCATTAGTCCTCTTCTTAAATTCACAAGAAGGGACAAAGGGCTTGGCCTTCTGCCCTTTCTTATTATGCCCTTTAAGACGGTAGCTCATAAAGTCATACAGTAAAACAACATGAGTACATCAACTAGGAAATATATACAATGTGGTGACAGACAGGAATGCCAGCCCCAATATGATGACTGAACCTGTAAGAGGATTTATGCTTCCCCACTTCATTAACATCAGACAGACTTGGTTCTTTCTGCATGAGATGTATGACTTGCAAATATTTAACCCATTCTGTGGACTGTCTGTTTTATTTTCTTGAGAGTCATCATTTGGAGCACAAAATTTTAACTTTAAGTAATCTAATTATATATTTTATCTTTTGTCACTTATGCTTCTGTATTCCAACCTAAAAAAACAGTGCACAGTCCAGGGTAATTGGGATACATGGTGATGTTTTCTTCTAATGGCTTACAGTTTTGTTCCATTACATTTACATCTGATATATTTAGCTTTAATGTTACATTTTCAATTAATTTTGGAGTATGGTGTGAGGAGGGGTCCAAATGATTTTTTTTTTTTTTTGGCATGTGGATATTAAAGTTTTCTAGCATCATTTGTTGCAAAGACTGCTCTTTTCTCTGTTAAGTTGTATTGGTACCACAGTCAAAATCAACCGACAACAAATATAACAGTCTATTTCTAGAATCTAAATTCTTTTCCATTTATCTATGCATCTATCCTTACGTTGGTATGAGTGTCTTAACTACTGTTGCTCTGTACAAAGTTTCTGAAATTGGGAAGTGTGAGTCCTCCAATTCTGGTTGCCTTTTAAAGATTGCTTTAGCTGTTCTGGTACCTTATTTTCCATGTGAATTTTAAAATCAAGTTGTCAATTTCCACAAGAAAGACAACTGAGATTTTCAGGGGAATGCATTAAATTGATAGATCAATTTAGGGTACTGTAATCTTAATTTGTGTCTTTTGACTCATGAACATGGAATGTTTTCCTGTTTATTTTTTAATTTCCCTTGGTAATGACTTCTAGTTTTCAGTATACAAGCCTTACACTGATTGTGTCAAATTTACATTTAAGTATTTTATTCTTCTTTGATGTTATTGTAAATAGAATTTTCTTAATTTTAAGATTATTTATTGCCAATGTACAAAAATAGTTTTTTTGTGTGTGTATATTAATCTTGTATCCCGTAACCCTAATAATCCTGCTTATTAGTTCTAATGGTTTTTATTTTCCTAAAATGCATTCCTAAGGAATATCCACATACTAATGCACAACATATGCAGACAGACAGTTTTATTTCTTCCTTTCCTTCAGGGTGTCTTTTGTTTCTTTTTTTTTTAATATATTTTTTTATTGGTTGTTCAAAACATTACAAAGCTCATGATATATCATCTTTCATACATTTGACTCTTTTGTTTCTTTATCTCGTCTAGTTGCCCTGGTCAGACCTGGGGTTTAATACTGAATAGAAGTGACAAGAACAGGCATCACTGTCTTGGTCTTGATTTTAGTGGGGAACTTTGTACTCTTTGTATGGTAAGAATGAGCCAGCCTTCAGGTTTTCATAGATGCTCTTTATTAGGTTAAAGAAATTCCCCTTCTATTCCTAATTTGTTGAGAATTGTGAAAAGATACAGCATTTTTCATGTTTTTTTTTTTGTGTGTGTGTGCTTGACATGTTTCTTTTCCCTTTCTTATATTAGTATAGTGCATTACATCAACTGATTTTCAAATGTTAAACTAAAGCTTGCATTCTTAAGATTAAAACCACTTGGTCATGGTGTACAATTCTTTTTGTGTGTTGCTGGATTCTGTTTGGTATTTTGTGGAGAATTTGTGCACATCTATTCAGAAGGGATAGTTGTCTGTGTTCCCCCCCCACACACACACCTTTGACTTGTTTTGGTATAAGGGGGCAATACAGGCCAAAAAGACTAAGTTGGAAAGTGTACACTTCTGTTGTTTAGGAGACTCTGTGAATGACTGAGGCTAATTCTTCTTTGTATGTTTTGTAGCAATCACCAGTAAAGTTATGTGTACCAGGGATTGCTTTCTGGGAGGTTTTTGGTGATTAATTTAAACTCTTTAATTGCTATAAGTCTACTCAGAATTTTAAATTTCTTCTTGATTTTCTATTTCCATTCAGACTTTCTGTTTGTTATTTCTATAGGCAAAAATGTAAACAAATGGGTATGAAGCTGTGTTTCAACAGAACTTTATTTACAAAAACAGAGGACAATGGGGGCTACGGAGGGATATCAGCAAGAGGAGGGAATGGAAGACCCAGACCTCCTTATCCCACTGAGATGCCAAATTAATACACAGAAAAACTCTTTTCATGAGAAACCCAGAAACTAGTTTAAGAGTCTCACCCCAAGTGAACTTGAAACCTGTTGCATCAAAGCTGGTAGCAAAATCTGGTACATCAACTCTCTAGAGCCTCCACCCCCGGCATAGCACAGCACAACAAGGTGGAAAATCCCAACTTCTAGCTTCTCTTAGGCAGGGAGAGAGCAGGCTGGACCACACGCCCAAAGTCTTGATTTTCTAGGGGCCTTCCTTCCTGAGGCATGGACTTCTATCTTGTCTGAATCTAGGGGCCACCGAGAACAAAAGCAATGGTTTGTCCTTACAGATATACAAGGCATACAGCACACCTGTGATCACGATTAACAAGCCATACAAGAATACACTAAATCCTTTGTTTGTTTTGTAGGTTTAAAGTATTTCTAAATCAAAACTGGGGAAAGTAAGTTCAAAAACAGGTAAAACTAATGTACTATTTAGAAATGTGTGCAGGTACAATATAACAGTAAAGAAAATTTAGAAATGATTAGAAGACTGAGGAAAAGTGGTTAATCCTGTAGAGCAAGGAAACTGTCACCGGGGCCACATACAGAACAGGGTCTAGGTGCTGACAAGCGTTCTCTTTCTCCAGCTGTGTGGTAGATGTAAAAATACATTTGTCATGCATTTTTCTCTGTGTAAGTATATCATACAAAAAAGAAAAAAAAGGTAGAGATAAGGTTACAGTGAGGTAACAAAAATACTCTAGAAAGTAAAACAACTCTACAATTG